GGCGAGGTATTGCTACGTGTCTTCGTTCTGTAGTGTCAATGTAGCGAGAGATTGTTGGGTTGGTATTCTGAGCATCGAAATGATTCCAGAAGGTTCTACAGAAATGGTTCTAAGCCCATTACTACTGGCGCCGGCACAGCAAAGAAGAGACATGCAATATGTCGATAAGGGTTGGGAAAGGTTCTATAGGAGTAATGTAGATGAACTTAGGCAAGGAAACATAACAGTCTCGTTAAGGGAAACAGCTTGCAAGTAGGGATGAAAGGTTGGTTGTCGTGGAAATGTTTCCCAGAATTACCTGTATTGAATGACTTGGATACTGCAGCACATTGTTCATTTTGGTTGTTTTGGCCTCGTGAGGTTGGTAAAATCCATGTCTGATATGTCTGACTTCACGTTGTGGTAAATAATAGGAGAGTAGTTATCGGTGGTGCAGTCTATTGTTTCCAGTGTTTTCAATAGTGGTGCGATGCTTAAACGTTCAGTTTAGTTTCTATAAGTGACATTATTGCTCATTCCTGAATCTATTAAGCTTCATGCCTTCTTCACCACTTCAAAGTATACTAACTGGTTTGAGAATAACGAGCTACAAAAATTTGCCGATTTTAAACCGATTGTTTTAACTTAAATTTGACAAATCTAAGTTGCTGAAAATGGATGATGGTGACATGTTACTAACATGCTTAAGATCTTAGTGGGAATACAACACTAATCAGCAATTGAAACCATGAGATTCTTGTTAAAAATGCAAATTTGCTTTCCTCGACAATTTAATGCTGTTTTTAATGAAATGAGAAGTTTGGTATTACACTCCGAAAATGACGCTGACGGTGGACATTCATATCTTTCGATTGTTGTTGATAACAGGTGAAACGAAAACAAGTTTTCATCATGTTAGGAAATGAATGATCAAGAAAGAAGAGCTTTCCTTCCCTGTTTTCAGTTTTTCTGTATCGAAAAAACTTTTGGAACAATTTTTCAGGGCTAAAAGCATTAATTAAGACAGCTGATCGATTTCTGCCAATTCTTCTACCCTCTTGTCTTACAGTATGTCGTATATTTTGCTGAACTGATTTCTTGCAATTAATTTAGAAATGACTTACTGATTGATAGTAACCTGGAAAGTTCAGCAACTAAAAAAGACTTGCATTCATCCACAATTGGTCAAATATTATGTAACTGATAGCGCTGTTGTAATAAACTTAATACGCTGCTGAGGAATTTTAAACAATTCTGTGTTATTTGAAGGATCAAACCATAGTATCTAATTCGGACCGCGTATGTTTTTTTGATTTCTTTTAATTCTTCTTGAAAGTCTGGAGCCTTATAGGAAATAGTTGAGAACGGCTGCGGTAATGTCCTCATTAAATGAAAGCAAATATCGAAAAAATTGGAGACATGAAATTTACTGTGAATCCGAGAAAGTAAAAGTATGATTTCATCGCAGATTTAGAAATATTAGACATTCATGTCTTACAGCATAGGAATACTCAAGTTTCTTGTATGCAATAAACTGATGTCTCATTGAATGAGCTGACTAATAATACTGTCTGATAAAACAGTGTTCCATCAATTATTTGTTTCGATGTAGTGAATCAGACACTGTGAAACAATTAGTATTGATAGGTTATAAACTACATTGACTGCAAAAAAGAGAATATCAGTTTATATTATTTTTGCCCGATAAAGTGCTTTAAATACTTCTATATTATGACCAAATCAATTATAAGCATTTCAAACTTTCGCAGCATTTATCAATATTATTATTTTTTTGCAATGCACAAATGTTTAAACTATTACTTAATTGAATGCTTTTCTAGTTCTACATTCAACTGGTAATTATTGATCAATTTGTATTCACCTGCATTAACATAGATCTAGCACAATTTAACAAGTCATTTTGGCATTGAAAATAATGGTCTTTGAAAAAGGTGAAGAAATTTTCACAGCCACGAAGAGAGGATAGGAAGCAATGCTATAGCTGTTGATTGATATGTGAAAATTCCAAGTGGTCAAGAGGAATTTTAAATTTTTGTGAGAATTTTTTTGCAAATAGATATATTAGCAATTTACGAAGAGACGAATTTAACGGCTGATCTATTACCATTGTTCTCTCTTTAAGTCAAAAAAAACATTTCTTCTTATTACTACAACTTTATACATTTAAATTTACATAAAGTAAGCAATTGTGCAGCTCTAAAAATGGAAATCCAGTCAAGTGATTCATCTTGAGCATTCATTCATCTTTGCATCGGAGGTTGCTTTGCAACGATGGCACATAGAGGCCGAGGGAAGTGAATTAGTATATGAATTAACAGCTAACTGACCTGGTGGGATTGTTTACGGGTAATCAACCATCCGTACAATGATTTGACACAATCATTGATTTACGCAACACAGAGACGTGGAAGCAAGCATCATTTTACGATATGTAAACAGATTATGCAGCTTATTTTTTCATGTCGTAAGGGAGAAAGAACAAATATTCTGGACAGATCTATTTCCTGATAAATGCTTGTTGTCATGTCATTCATTTCAATATAAAATTGTCCTTTCATTACTTGGTGTATTTCCTCTTGAACTCGAAACAAGATTAGTACATGAATTCCTTGCTCAGAAATCCTATCAAGGAACAACCTTCGAAGTTTGTTTCCAAAGTTTTGCACTAACTGAGCATGTTTCCAAAGTATGAAGCTGGTGTCCCTGATCATACTGATCGCTACCATTGAGAAAAATAGTTATGATGTTACCAGAGAGTATCTTTTTAACAGTCACAACAATTACCATAGAGATACCAAGTAAAGGAAATCGTTTTCAATTCACCTTCCATTTTAAAGTTCACAGAACTTACAAAGAATTCATCGCAAATGAAGAATAACGACATGAATTTAAATGTTCTAGATAAAATGGTATTGCCATGAAGTTGGTATGTTAGTTGACAGGATGATCCGGTTCGAGTTCATCCGTGTCTCCTGAATTCAACGACAACTGTAGCATTAGATGTCAGATGTGTTCCGATTTTCTGATTACATCATTAACAGCGCAACAGTATCACTCTTATGCCAATCACAGAGTGCAAAATCTAGTTTCGCTGACATTTCCATCGTTGCAATTAACTTCTCTAGACAACTACAGATATTTTGAAATCATATTAGTGAATTGATTTTCAAAAAGACTGCAACTGTCAACACAGCTGGTTCTTTCGGGCATGCAGAAATTTTTTAGCGAGCCAATCTACTCGAAGTCAAATAGGATCTATTTAATTTCGCTTATTACTGAAAGAGTAAGTGTATAGTAATGCTGTACACAAGTGCAGAAATGAACATAAGTGGCTATGATGTGTTACCGTAGGTACTGGTTCGGTAATGCAAGTAGAATTAAGATTAATTTTCATTTCATATCAAACAAAACTAATTTTTGAGCCTACATGCCGAATTCGCGTAGTATGATGCAAGCACTAGGTAATCTCAAAAAATGTGGCTTTTCTCTGAAAACAGTAAAGAAGAAAGCATTGGTGCTTTCATTAAGCACCATGTCGATGGGCAATTTTTTATAAGAACTGCTGAGAACTGCCATAGTGAAAAAAATTAAAAGGAAGAAAAAAGCGCCGCTCTATGATTAACAACGATTTGCGGTACATTCTCACACCCCCTCGCCTGAAAGTAAGGGTAAGATATCTTTTTTCGTCCATACTACCAGAAAAAATGGATCAATTTCAAAACCTCAAGATCGCAAAAAGTGTCATTAATTAAACATGCGAAATGTTCGAGTATTTCAAAGATAAGAAAGAACGAGAAATTCAATTCATTGAAGGGAGGGAGGGAGGGGGCGTATCATAAAATCATATGTTCCTTAAAATGTATGGGAAATGAAAATTTGATGAAATTGAAAACTTTTTTTAACAGTGAGCATTCTCGAACAAAATAAAACCATTCTTACTCATGAAGTTCAAAGACTAGAAGGCTATATCAAAAAGAATGAAGTGATTGATTTACAAGTTTCACTCAAAAAGAAATATAAAATTCTATTAACGATTTTTTTTTGAATTCTTCAAAGTAATATCATGAAGTGGTGATCAGGTTCAAGTCTGATCATTCAACTTTTTCAGTTGATATTAATTTTTTCAGTCCCATCCCACAGTACATCATGCATAACAATTCTGAAGTTCCTTTCTACTTGATGTTCATAAAGGGTAAGTTGCTGTTCAATCCTTCAATTATTCATCTGTCACTTCAATACCTGACAGTTTCTCAGGAACAGGACGATTATACAACAAATTAAAAAACTAACAAACTTTCTCACATTCAAAATGCGCAACTGTACATACGCTATTTGCAAAGGCATTGGCTTTGTTTACTTTATAGTGACATATATGTTCATATGCATTTCTAGATTTCTAGAAACATCACAGACCTGCCATTCAGTTTTATGCCACTAAACACTGTTTAGAAGTTTTCTCGAGTAAATTATCCAGTAGCCAGTTAGTTATCATTCACTTTTCAATCTAGTCAGTTATCAAGATGGAGATGAGATAGCACTATTTAGAAGTTATCATACGGTCATACGGTTGTGCCATAACGTTTGATAAAGCGTAGGACGGAAGATGTAGGACAATTATTTCGTAACGCGACCAAGGCAATAATGCCGGCACTGAAGTAGAATCTCGTCCCGGGATGCGATATGCGATATGCTTTTTGGAATTTGTGTGTGGGTGGTGAGGAAGAAGCATGGGTTCGTATTATGGGTTGCTGTGGAACTCTGTCCTTTCCTTCTCCCTCTCTCTCTCTCTTTCTTATTCCCTCTCTCCCTGCTCCGAGTTGTTTTTCGCTTCACCTTTAGATATTTAACCGAAACTGAACTTGGAGCAAAACGAGCTGATCGAGATTAATAAAATGAAATTTAAAGCACTGGAACTGTCTTGAAGCTTTATTCATTCTATCATAATTATTTACGGGTGATTGAAGTATTAGTAATTGGAATAACTCAAATACAGATTGACAATGAGCAGATGGCCGTTGGGCAGGAGCCTATTTCTTGTCCATCACATTGAATGTATAAAAGTTAATGGCTTAAGTTCAAATGTATTGGGATCTATTTCGGCAGAAGGTGTGAACCTCAAAGCTGTGCAAGAAAGAACAACGAAGACAGCAATCTTGATGCTACATCATGGACAGCCGAGAACACCGTATTATGCCACGAAACATTTGGCTGAAGGCTCTCATTACTACTATAAGATACCACTATGGCTTACTTCGTATGTATGCATGCTTCATTTCTTTTTAATTCTGTTTTCATAAAGTTCTAATGTATGAAATGGTACACAGTGCCACGTAATTGCTTGTTGCTCATTTCGACTGCTTTCAATAATAGGAGGGTATAAGAAACCCTCCTATACCCTTTTGTGCGTTAGCGGTTTGCGTGATACTCAATTTGAGAAAGAAAGGAAAAATTCATTTGAAAGATATATTTCTTTTGCATTTTAAAATTTAAAAACCTTTTTATTTCAAGACGTGTGACACAATTATATTGGCCATTAGCGAAGAAAGTTAATTTTTGTGTTGACGACTACAAATACAGCGAAAACTTCTCACATCTTGTCAGTACATATTCAAAAGTACTGCAAGGATATTTGAATGAATTAATTCCGGAACATCGTTCATTCTACTGCACTTACGCATTTCTTTATGACGAACCAGCTATTTCGAGAACGATCAGTGAATTGATAAGGTAATTTCAACTTATAATAAGTAACTCGGACTTCTCGTTTTCTCAGAAACATATATAGGAAAAATAGGGTATAATCTTGCTGTTGTTTTTCCAGCTTCTGCAGTTTCTATTTGGGACAAAACTTGCCATTGATTTGTTTGAATCAGGTTTCAAGTTTTTAGTACATTTGAAATGTCATGTAGTTGATTGTGATCTTACTATTTCCAGAAAAGGTATACAGCGGTTAATTTTATTACCACTATATCCACATTATTCGTGTTTTCAAACGGGGACAATGCTAAATATTGCTGTTAAGGCTCTTGATGAGCAAACAAAACCGCTGTCAAAAGATGGTATATGTTCAATGGATTATAGAGTGAGAACTATGTCCCATGTATCATTTCGCTGTAGTACTATTGATCGGTGGAGTAGTCATCCAGTTATTATTAATGTGAGTTGCTTAAAGATCCGTTTAAAATTCTTTTTGAAGACTTTTGCACTTATATTTCTTTTTTGAGCTACTATTTATGTTTGTTTACCCTTTCTTCAGTTGCATCAAAATCCATGTAAATCGGAGTCCGGTTTATTTTTGAATCTTGCTCATTTTTTGATATCGCTTCTATTATGTAATTATTTTAGCACATAAACTTTCTATAAAAGTTTAGAAAAAACTAAAAACTTCATATTGTGCTGAGAAGAAGCTAAAAAAACTTCATGTCTAACAGAGATGGAAAATTAAGTTTGTGAGACTTCTAGACTTCCAAGAAGATATGGCGAAAATGCGCAATGTTTCTTTCAACAAACGTGCTTATTTAACGCATTTCTTAAAATTTATGGAATTTATTTGGTTTATTTGGAAGAATTAATTGTGCTAATTTTTTTCTTTACATTTTAGTTCTGGTATAATTTGCTATGTACCGAACTGAAGGATCACGACAGTTTGCTTTTTGTTGCCCCACAAATGGTTTGTCTTCTAAACTTACTATTTTCATGAATTTGATAACTTTCTGCTTCCATTTGATACGGCAGATGAAATCTTCAAAGAAGTGAGGAATCTTTCTTCTGTTTTTGTCCAATTTAAGTTCTGTTGAGTATAAACTAGGCTAAAATGATCTGAATATAAATCTCTGGAATGAATGAACGTATCAACAGGATCTCATTTTAAGATGAGAAATAAATTAAATTAGCCAGATCACCTTATTTTTCAGTGCCCAAAAATTCAATGAAACTGTTTCGGTAATTGATTGTTATATTTTGTGTAGTTATTCGGTCCGATGTATAAAAATAAAATTGCTATCGGAGTTGCATTTTAGCGTGGTTATAATTCTTCCGGCTACATGCGAGAGATTTGGACAACTTGTTATCGCCTGATGGAACATATGAATGAAGCCGTTCCTTGGAAACTTGCGTGGTTTAGCGGTTGGGATCAGTGGCCAGCAACAACATTGGAAAGCATAAATTTACAGTTATATTTCTTGAGAAGAGAAAAGCGATATCGTACTTTAGTTGTGCCCATTGCATTAATCATGCCTTCTTTCGAAAGCGAAAGTTTGCTACCAGATATTTTACAAAATGAGGTAAGCCACCTGTATTCGTTTCCAAGTACTTTTCATAAATTGCTTTGCATCAAACAAATGCTTTTATTTAACTGCCTACTAATATTTTGTTTAACTGTAATAAAATTAAATTGATAAAGTGCAGGACGAGCTTACAAACAGTAATTTCCATTTTTTTTTTTTTTTTTTGATGTCAATTATCTGAAAAGCTACAGTTAATCTAATTTGTTTACTAATCAACAACTTTTTTTTTTTTTTTTTTTTGCATTTGTTTTTTTCTTTTCTTTCGTTTGAAATTCTCTGTAGAGGAGATTTTCTAAAAATAATTTTCTATAATGGTGAGGGGGATTTTATTACTCTTATAAAATTACATTTCCTATTGATTTTTCTGCTCTTATTTTTGCAAAAATGAATTTTGGAGAAAATATTGCTCTTAGTTTAAAATTATTAGTTTGATTCTATGCGTCCATTATATTGTTTTTTTAACGAATTTATTGGAATTGTTTCTAAAAACTTATCATCTTATACTTTATTACATGCGCCTAATTTTCACACTCTTCATAATCTGTTATTTGCAGGGTGTCGATTTACTTTCACCACCTGGATTTTCACCGGTTTTGGCACATGGCTTTGCAGAACTAATCAAGAATCATTTGATGGGACGTAGAGCATCATCACAATTATTGCATCGCTGTAAATTCTGCTTTAGCTCACGTTGTTTACTTCGAGAAGCAATGTTGGCACCAAAAGAAATACCTTTCAACGAAATATTTTTAAAAAACACTTTAGGGAACGGAGAGCTAATTCAGCAACAAAAAAGACTGCAAATTTCGGCTTGAAGATATCGAAATATTTTAGATTAAAACGATCTCTTAAGGTTCATTACCACTCAAATTTTTTGTTGCTGAAAGTCATCAACGCACGCATAGTGATAGTGCTTCCACTGTCAGGGAAGATTAATTTCTCTCGTCTGGCAAGTGGGTGGTACTCCACTTGAAACAACTCTTTAGTCTGGGCCGTATGTTTTAGCTTGACTTGACTGTTAATTGTATATTGCATATTGCTGAACGTCAGTTAGAATAACTTCGATCAAGCAATAATATTTGTGTAATATTATTTTTTTCATCGTATCTTTAATTTGTGAATAATTATGTAAATTTGGAATCAATTTCAAGCAGTTGATAAACACCTAATATTTAAATAAAATAATAGCATATCTATTTCACTGGTGTCGTGATGATGCTGTATTTCGAGTTCCAGCATAGAAGTTTGCGTGCAAGAAATTTTTGAGGGGAATAAAGGTAAGGAAAAGCAATCGATTTCTAACTTAGCTTGACTGTCGTTCCATTATCCTTCGGTACGTGTGGTGACAGACTCTACTTATAGTGTAGATGTAGCTACAAGTTATATATATTATGGTCGGATTTAATTCACACTGTGCGGGATTGCTGCCAACTTTTTCCTCATCTATTGTGTGTGAGAATGAGTAGATCACAGTTTTGCTTACTGCTGGTTGTCAGTCAGTATTATGTATTAACAGTAAATTATATGTCATATGCAACTAATTCTCAAGCTTTTTTTTGAATCTGTGAAATTTGAAGGTATTTCAAGTTGTTTAAGTTGTCAGCCTGGAAAAGCGGTAACGAATGTGTTGGAATTTTTTGCGGGTAAAATCTACGAACAGTTAAAAATACAGTGTGATAAGGAGAAGGATGCCTTAGAAAGGTGATTACTTAGGAAGACCTTAGAAGAGTAAATTAATCACTGAAGTTTTCCTTACGACTACTGTACGATGTTTCGTATGAACCCTTTGCAGCGACGGAGAAACAGTGAACATGGAAAAAGTAATTGTATGATGGAAAGGTCACCACATCCATATGAAAAGAAAGGAAGGAAGAGCAGGAATCAGTCTACGCAATCTCCCAGCAAATATACTACTGCATCATGGTGCACACGGTCACGTCACGGGTCCATTTCACATCAACGAGATAGCGCAATTTGATTTGACCTCTCATATAATCCTTTTAATAATCTTTGACCTTCCCTCCCACCACATTCTCTTGCGGATGGTCCCTTCTCTACAAACTGCCGCATTATCATCAGTTGTGAGACTCAGAGTAACAAATTGGCCCCCTGCCAACAACCTCCACTGCAAATTGAAGAGAACGTCTAGACGGCCGGCTTCTCTTTGGTCTGCTGTATGCATGTAGATGTGATAGGTGGAGTGGGCGTGTATCGATCGGCGTGGGTGGGAGTGTTGAGTGATTGCAGAGCCGTCTACCCGTCTGTCTGCGAGAAGTTCCAGAAGAAGGGGTCTATTTCATATTTATGAATGGCAAGATGAGTGTACCTGAATAGGTCAACCCGTGGGTTGTCCATCCGCACCTGCAGTACCTTTGCTTGATTCGCTCATTCTGTTCCCTTCATTTCTCCTCGCCATCACACTTTGCTGGGTCATCGATCCAATTGGCCATTTCTTCACTGTCCTCTCATAGTTACTTGCGAGTAACATCACGTCATTCCTTTATGGTCACCTTACTTTCAAGTCTTTGCTGTATTTCTGCCTATTTTTTAAAACTACTCCATCGATTGATGGTTCTGTTGATTAATTAACTGAGTAATGAATGATTAGGTACCAATGTTCATATTTTTGGTGGCGCTGTGTGTCATGTCAGTGTGAACGGTCTTTTCGACAGTTTGTGATTTTGCTATAGCGATAGTTCTCCTTTCGGCTTACTTTTATCGGTGAAAGGTTTTGATCACACTGAATCTTGTGAGTGGCTTCACTTCTCCATTTCAGTTCACCTTACTGATCATTCTCTTTTATTTCTCATAGGGGGAGGGAGGGAGACAATTTTTTTCTTCTTAAATTGCTACTTGTAACGAGATGAGTTTCCGGGCTCCCACCACGCTATTTATACCGTTAATGATCTATCTGGAATTCCTTTTTATAAAAGTTAGGTTAAAGATTGTGAAATAAGCTGCTGTAGGTGTATGCATGAAGAGTACTTATCATGAAAACTAATTGCAGTTCTGCAACTGATCTGGGTAGGGTTGTTGCACTCCACTTGCCGTCAACCGTTCAAAGAACATATATTAAAAATTTGATCATCTAGAATGGAGGAAACTGTTCAAATTTCCCCCAAGTATTAAGTCATCATGTGTCACATTCCTGGCTTTTTAGATTTCTGAATTACTGACTTATGTTGTGAAGAATATTGAACCACCCCCGGAAAGAAGGGCATTAGGAAAGAGCTAGAAAATTCATAGGGCTTTTGTGGAAATTAATTTTATTCAGGTAGTCTATTTTCAGAGGTAAAACTTGAAGTTTTTCTGATGTAATTATTTATTGGTATTGCACATATGAATGATCTTGGTAGGTAACAACAGCTTTTATGTGATCAATAAGGCGTAATGAGGAACTTATTATCTTTTCCGTAATTGCGCATTAGGTATCGATGTTGCATCCAATGAATTCATTTGATGCGTACGCAAAAATGCAAAGAGTGAAGATTTTATGACGCGTAATGATATAGTGATGAGTGATTGTTAATGTTGAATGATGGAAACAGCGCAGAATTAGTGGCGCAGAAATTAGTCAAGTTCACAGATTTACAAATCAATCACGTTCACGGATTTTACACACATCATGTAGGAGGAATGGAGTGATGAGGATTGTTACTTATTTGCAGTTCGACATCCCACGTTCAGCAACAAGCAACAAGGGATAGTTACAGAGGAAATTTGTGCATTCTTGGACGAGGTAGGGCAGAGGAAGACGGCCGATTGTGAAGGGCAGTCAATTTCAGAGTTTACAGTTGCATTTTCTCGACAACATGTATTTTTAGCACACTGCGTCCCAGTTTTTTGTGAAGAGCCAACAGCAACTTGTACCCTCACATTTTGCGCTTCCTCTCAGATGTTCCCGGTATAAAATGTTCTTGTTTTTTATAGGTCTTCTTTTGAATGCAACAAAACTTCGCAATTTATTACTGTACATAATTTCTTTCGGTCTGTTTGTCTGTAACGCTCAGTTCATGAATGTTATGTCACCGCTTCCAAAAGGACTTTGAGATTTCAGTGTATTCTTCTCTATGTATTAACTGCTCATATGAATTCTATTTGTTCCGTTCCACTTGTTTGTTAGGAATCACAGCACTAATCGACCTGTGTAATAAAAGAGACATGCTAGGGAAGGAAGATGTCGTTTGTCTTTCTATTCCTCCAAGTTCGTAGAAATTAACACAACAGTCTCGATATGATGGTTTGCAAAATAAAGAAAATTTTTTTTTTGTAAACCTAGGAATAAGATGGTAATTTTTTCAGCATCAGTGTTATAGTAAAAACCGCAAGCTTTTCATATTAAACATTCACAACGCACTTGTAGTTCACACTGCACAACATTCATACTGCAAACTACAATTATCAGTCGTCGAATCGAGCAGTCACAATGAAGAACTAAAATATGTCTGACATTTCATTATTTATGGTGAGTGAATTACAACTGAATGGATTAGGAAACAGACTGAACTGAATGTATCCGTTCGTGACTCATGATTGTCGTTATTCATTACTTTGTTTTCCTTTGCGATATGGTTGTAAATATGTATCTCAGTTTTTTTTTTTTTTTTTTTTTCTTTTTTTTGTTCTTAAGGCTAAGTTGAGTTAGGTAGGGTTTCCCTGATGTGCCACATTTAAATCTTTGTGAAGAATGAGCGATGAGCACTATTTATAATCATTAATTGAAAGCGTGAGATGACGCAAAATTTTCAGTTTGTTTAGAGCGTATGGTAATTTTGACCCATTTCTTGCAATATGTATTAGTGAAGACATTTCTGTCTGTTTTTTTTTATTTCATCAAGGAAGAGGGGATATTGGACAGGCAATACCACTGTTCTCGGTACTTTCTATAAAGTTAATAAATGTTTTCTGCAACATTTGTTGCATTCTGTTCCTGTGCTTTGAATGGCACTGTTAATCATTAATGCACCACTTATACTCTTTGTGCAACTGTCGCTGTATTATGGAAATGGTGATTCAGCGGGTCAAATTTTGCACAGAGCACTTTGTTTTCTGCGCTATCACTCAATAGTATTGCCATCTACGTGTTCATAAAATTACTTGTACTTCAGGACTGACATCACTTGTAAGCATATCTGGAAAGTGAGCTCAGAGTGAGAAGTTAAACGCTTTTGGACGCATACAATTCTTTAATCTGTCGTTGGGCAGCTGACCTAGGCTCGTTGGCAACTACCGCAATCACAGGGAAAACATTATAAAAGTTTAGGTCGTTACAGGTCTCTTAGCAAATTTCTAATCTGGTTTTGTCTTCGAGTGGAGCACTTGTGCTCAGCATTTCAACCGACAAAATCGTGCCGTCGCGAGAACTTCTAAATCATTCAAGCAGTCAAGTTGAGTCGTCCTTATATATTGCTGAAGCCGTATGATCGGCACAGTCTCGAAAGCTGCTCAGCAGTTTCTTGTACTGGAAGCTGCATAGCAGCATTAACATCAACAGCGCTTTACTGTAGTGCTGTAACCATACGTTCCCGAGAAGCAAGAAGTGAAACAAGAAACCTAAGCATTTATAATTGTGACAGTCGTGTAGCGAGTAATATCATTAGCATGAATTCTGCTACTTCAACGAATGTCGGCTCTACCACGGTATCACACGCAACCGATACGACAGCCAAACATGGTTATGATGTAAAAGGTGGTAATAATAGCAAGGATAGTGATTCAGAAGGCGAAGGAGCTGAAGAGGTTTGCTTAAAGAAGTTTTATATACTGCGAAATTTAATTTTGTAGATTAAACGTTGTAAGATTTATGATAATGGCTTTGTTTTTATTTCCTTTTTTTTTGAAAACCTTTCAACTTTATTGGTTGTTGTTGTTGTGGAAATGATGAGCAAACATATGAAGTTATCTACTGCTATTTATTCTGTCATCCGAAATCCGTAGGTGGAATAAACTCCAACTAAGTGCTGAAAAATGAGTCTGCTGATGAAGTCAATGCTAGGACTGAACAACACAACCATTTAATAGATTCCAGAGGTAGAATTTGTGCAGGAAATAAAGTACCTGGACTGATGGATTTTATATAAATACTGATATTATCTTCTTGAGCGGGTTGAGTGGGCGGGTTTGTCATGCCCATCCTTGATCTTCCATCATTGTACTTAATTAACAGACATAAATCAGTTGTTGTTAGGAAGTATATCCGTGCCCATAGGCATGTCTTTGGATACCTCTCACTTGTACTTCAACAATGGTGAGGTAAGTTTGCTTTCAATAGAAATTTGATATATGAATAACGATCACTGTTGGATAGTTTTGTAATATAACTTATATCAGCAAACAGAATGTCTCAGTCTAGCTTTTGACTTTTCTTTCTATACTGCTCAAACAATAAATACTTTATTTTTGATCTCAAATTCTTCGTTACATTCTTCATTGAAAGTGGATGTCAAACAATCGTCAAACTTCATTGTTAACTTTTATCTATATATTTAACTTATTAATTAATAACTTTGCCAATTAATCATCCTTGGTTATAATACACATATTAAAATACACTTAGTGTTGTTTTTCAATGTTTTTATTGCAAAAAGTTGTTTTTTCATGCATTTTGCTTACCACAGAAAAGATAAAATAAGAAATTTTGTCGTCATTTCATCGTGAATCTTGTGCGTCAGTCGTCAGTTTTTCTAGATCTTGGAAGAAAGCCCATGCAAAAGATGGAGCAAACGGCGTGAGCAAGTAAAACAGCGTAATGTTCCTGGGATCGACTATGCTTACTTGGCAATGGATAATGAAACAGGTAACGAAGTGGTATGGAATGAAGTTTTGTTCTCAGAACGCAAAAATTTTCGTTCACAAGAAGAACATATAAATGCCGTTTTCGACAAGTTGACTCATCTCGTGCACACAAATCTCGTTAAATTCCATAAATATTGGACAGATTCGAAATCTGATAAACCAAGGGTTCGTTTAAATACAGATTTCTCGCATATAATAATTTTTAAGGTTTCGGTTTTTTTCTTGAACATGAATCCACGTAGAATTTGATTTATAGAACTGTTGTTTATTTCCTTTTTTTTTTTTTTTTTTCCAGTGTCGAGTAAAGTACATGCAAGATTTGAAAAATGTTGAAAGAGATTCTTACGGGTTTTTGTTTTAAATTCTAGGCATCTTGGTTTCGTGGGTAGTGGTTAGTAAGTATCTTGAGTCAGTATTTACAGATTGATGAATTGCTCGTGATCATTGTGGAAAATTGGGAGGAGTGGATAAATGTACATCTAGTTCTTATCATCTTATTCAAATCGTTTTATCAGAGCTCATTGATGAATTGCTAATGGTAGCATCATTTTAGGTCGGAATGCTGCAGACGAACTTTTTTGATTACTTCATTCTTAATTGGCTTTTGAACTAACAAATTAGCTCTTCAAATTTGTAAAATTCGATACATCAGTTTCCTTTTATATTGTTTAGATAATATTCATAACAGAATATATGTCGTCTGGTTCACTAGCACGATTCTTACAGCGTACTCGCAAATCTGGAGCTGCTTTAAATCTGAAGGTCGGTTTAATTAATCCTGCTATCTTAGTTTAAAAGGAACAGCTTTCGGCACCTTTTTAATTCGATTTATGTGTCTTCTCTTTTATCTTATACATATCAGAATTGCCATTTCTCTTTTTTTTTTTCTTTTACTATGTACAGAATTTTTTTATGACTTTGCTACTTTTCTTCTTACTTGTTCTTTTCTTTTTGTGTATATTTTGTCCAGATGATTTCAGGCCTGGAAAAAGTGGACTACGCAAATCCTGTCTGCTCTGAATTATTTACACTCATGTAATCCTCCAGTTGTTCATGCAAATCTTACTTGCAACACAATGTTCATACAACATAATGGTTTGATCAAGATCGGTTGTGGTGAGATTTAAATTTTTATACAAATTTTCTGTTTATCTTTCACATACGAATGAGCCGAACAAGTTTTGTAATAGAATTAAGGTTGTTTGTCTGCTGAGTAAAGAACGTTTTATTTGGGAACGTGATATGGCAAAAGTTTGGATTTTGTGAAATTCACATACATATCTGTAATCTTATTTTAGTCGCTCCAACTGCAATTCAACATCACGTGAAGACGTTTCAAGAGAATATCAGAAATATGCATTACATTGCACCTGAATATGAACGTAAGATTTTTTTTTGAAGAATTCTACTACTAGGGAAATTGTAATCAAGATTGCAATTTTCGTTGTGGCCTCATGATAAAAGTGGGGTGTTTTGTTCTTAGTTCTTTCTCTTTGGGGTCTGCGGAATAAATTTTTGTTTTTTTAGATACAGATTCCATTTCCTCTACCAAATGCGCCGTTTGCAGTTTTGATTACTCCTGATTTTTTTTTTTTTTTTTGATTTTTAATAGTTTGATTCCAGATTGTAATGCTGTAGCTCCGCCAGCTGACATCTATTCCTTTGGAATATGTGCGCTAGAGGCAAGTTTATCTCGAATATGAGCTTAAGTATTGGGGCAGTGTAAGTTGTGACCATAAAAAGGCCTGAATCGGAGGCTGAGTTATTCGCCACAGGTTCCAGACTTGTGCTTCCTGTAAAATACATAGAATTCTCAGCAACTTTTTTTGGTATTTCAGATGGCTTTACCGATGGGTTTATGCGGCTCTTCAAATGGTACTGAAACAAGTGTCGTTTCACAGGAGATGGTTAGGAGAGGACTGGAATCACTAGAAGATCCTATGCAAAAAGTGAAGACTTAAATTATTGGGAAGCCTCGGTTCAAATGTTCTTTAATTGTTTTGGTTTGTATGCGTTTACATCATAAAACATCTTTGAATAGCTGACAAGGTTGTAAATGATTTTTAAACACTTGTTATGTATATAAAAAAGGCTTTCTCATTCAAATATTTTTGTTCTTGAATGTTAAATTTTAGGATTTCATTGAGAGCTGTTTGAACCAGGACCCATCTAAAAGGCCTACTGCTCGTGATTTATTGTTCCATACTATTTTGCTTGAGGTAAACGTTGCATTTGCTTTTTTTCTTTTTTCAATGGTTAAGTATAATTAATAATATGCATTGAGCACGTAATGCACACTGTGTTATAGCCTGCGAAATCAATATTCTGGTAAATCACTTAGGTTTATCCGGCATGTTCTTATCAAACAATTAACAGCAATTCACAGAAAAGCTTCTAATTCATAGCTTGATATTATGACTCAGGTGCATTCTTTAAAATTATTGGCTGCTCACTGCATCGTATCATCGAAATTGAATGATAGCTTAAATGAAGATGATCTGCATGTAGATGATCCGAATCGCATTGCAGCGACATCAGAATTTCGCGAAATGGCTTATAATCAGGTCCCTTCTTTTCAGGTATTCTTTCTTCGGAATCAAATGAAATATTGTCTTACATACTTTTTGTCATATTGAGAAACATAGCAAATTATGTAATGGTAGTAATCTATTGGTTCGAGTTAATAGCTAGTTTGTGAATTAAATAGCTTTACATAATTATGCTCGCAGCAAATGACTAATTTCAGGTAGATCTGGAAAAGTTTTTGGAAGATGTTAGTAATGGAATATATCCGCTCATAGCATTTACTCCTCTTCCTCATCATCAAAGGATGACGGCTTCGACATCTTCATCCGCTATAATTGGCGAACAACAACATGGTGCTTGGATAATTTTTCTTAAATATGACATTTCTCTTCAACCAAGTCTCAGTGTTGTAGTGAATTGTTTCAAGCTAAAATTTATTTGCAAATTTTTATAGAAGATCATGGGTCAGATGGTGACAAACCGGAGCCGACACCCTCTCCTCCAGCAGATTCACCGGTAGAATATAAAGAAAGCAGGTCAATCATCAAATGTACAGTCACAATTAACGGTAATTTCATGTCCATAACTGGAAAATACTGTTATGATTTAAATCAAATAATTTTATAATTCAATTCGCTTGTCGCTCTAATTATAAATCTAGTTTATTGTTACATATTTGCGTTGTTTTTCTTGTAACCACATGATAAGCATTGTGCTTTGCAGGGTCACTGTTAACATTAGTTGTTCAGTTAGATGATATGATGAACCGGCAGTTGACAGCTAGAATAACTGAGGATGATACCTCAAGTATATTAGCAGCCGAATTAGTGCAGCATGGTTTAATAGCTGAGGTATGTGGTTTTTTTTAAACTCATGCAAATATTTTTTTTTTTTTTTTTTTGGAGAAGTATCATTCCTGCTAGCTTTTTATAACTTTTAACAATTGTTATCTTTTTGGAATTACTTAGTGGTTTTTCTATTTGAGTTAATCCTTTGAATGCTTAACTCATCTTTTGATTTTTTTACTAATCTAGTGTGATTTGTCGCTGGAACCTTCCACAAATTGAGTCTAGAAAAAATGAAGTCCAGTGTCATTTTTTTTTTTTTTTTGCATTTTCGAAAATTTTACAGAGCGATGAAATGAGAGTGGAAGAAGCATTCGCAAAAGCTCTTGGAAAAGACACAACTGATAGCACTTTGACGAATGAAAAAATAGTTCAAGAAGCATCTACATCGACGTTGTGACTAAAGAGCCTGTATTTTTTCCCGTAATCATACAAATTGCACTTCTTTATGGAGATGCTTTTACAAGCAGCTAGAAAAGAGCCTTTAGATGTCGTAACTGTACTATTTTTTCCTCATGTTTCATATTTTAGATTCCTGAAAAGTCTTGAGCTTGTGCAAATTTTTCTGGTTTAATTACCTCTGAATTTCTTTCAAATCCATTTTTTGTTTAAATTGAGCGGTTAGGTGTTGTATCAAATACCTGAGAAATTCTTTTTAGGTATTAGGATTTTGGATTGATGCAGCAATTTTAACAAAGAAACTCTGCTTGTTCCTGATACAACAGAATAGCTCAGTATTTTTTCTTTTCTGAAAGAATATGAGCTCTGATATCACCTGTTCACGATTATATTGTTATACATATTTGTTCATGTATACACTTTGTTATAGAAAGCATTTATTGTTTCAAAGATCATTTGGGCATAGTCCCACCCAGAGAAGTTTATTTGCTTAAGAATTACTTCTTCAGTACTGGATATAAGTTCAAAGTGATGAATGAGTCAAATTTTTTGAGTACTTGTTTTGTAATGTGATGGTCCGGGGATGAAGGATATTAGCTGCACTTTTGATGATTTATTTGCTTAACTGCTATCCGTAACGTTTACTATTTGCTTCATGAAAATAACCTGAAAAGTAAGAAATTGGTAAAAGTTCTAACTATCGCTTACTGTATACGTTGTATTGAGCATCATTTTGCAGTAGCGGATGCACTGTGGCATCAGGTAATCTCTGAGGAAATTGTCTTGAAGATGATGTGAAGAATCACTTATTGTCGGTTTGAATGAAATTCTTTACTTTTTACGGGTATCCGCTGCTAGTCAATGTGTTTGTTAATTCTATGGGGAAGTTGTTTGTATTGTGGGATGCGAGTAAATGTGATTTTGTTTCCAAGCTCATAATTATTGCAGAAAATTATTCTGGAAATTGCATATGTTCGATTTATTGTGTTCTGAAGCTTTTCCTATAGATTAAAATATGTCTAGGTGTTCGGTGGTGATCGTTAAAATATAAGGTTTAGATGGGGGAAGGTTATCTTTTGTATGCGTTTCATTTAAATGCGAACTCCTGCTTTTCCTCAACCTGATGATTTCAGATGCATGACTGAGTGTTATCCTTAGATACACTTGTGATGCATGTGGTTTCCATAAGTTTCATTTAAGTTCCTTGAGATTGTGGATGAAATTCGGAGACAAGAGTTTTTTATATTCTTTTAAGTTCCTATCATTGCTAGCTCTGTAAGTGGAATTCAGAGTGGCAAAGAAAATGAGGCCAGAAATGGTTATAAATTAGATGGGAAGTCATTCCAAGTAAGCTAATGCTGATGAATTCAACTAGCTGAAGCATTAATATTGATCTATCTATTATCCATCTAAATCTGAACTGTTCGTTGCCACGAGCAAAATTAGTAGCATCTAACAAAATGAATCATTAATTAGAAGATATGTTAAAGAATGCTCCATTCAAACAGCTCGAGTCACATAAGGTTGAAGTGATGCTCATATAATGCAATCAGCTTTCATCCATCTATTCTCAGTTCATGTTGCAGAGGAGATTTATGGAAAGGAACAAATGAACATTCAGTACTACTGCTTCTTCTTAGAGTAAAGTTTTGGGTGGTCATACAGTCTATATGAAAGATAAATTCAGTGTCGCAAATACTAGTGTTTGCGAATTATAATATGATATGGAGCGCTCTGCGATCTCTCATAATATTTATCACATGGATGAAAAGTTATCGCTCTCTCAGATTTTGTCCGGAATTTTTTTGATTAAAATTGCATTGGGATTTTTGGGTTTTATATCTCTCCAGATTATGATGACTTGTGTGCTTTATGAAAAGGCTGTTTTTAGATTGTTTGCGCTAGCTTGATATGAAAAATTTGTTATAAATTTTTGAGTTATTTTATGCTTCCTCATAATTTTCTCTTCTGCAATTTGAAAAACACCGAAGGTATAGTATTGCTTATAGAGAAAAATTTACAAGGAAATCATTTCACATACTTGTTGGCGATAGCTTTAATTATTAGCAATCGTTTTATTCATGATCCATTAGTCTATTCTAACTATAATTAATGTTCAGAAATACGTCTTATTCAATACTTCAATTTATTCAATATTTTATTTCACAATTTTATTTCAGTTTATTCAACATTACTCTGAAATTTCTCCGTATGCTTTCTTTTTATTCAGTTCTGTCGTCTTTAGGAATCTATTTTCTTTCTCTTGTTGATATTTTCATTTATCGGTTTAGATCTTGGCCACATGAACTGACTTTTATTGAAAAAATAAAAATGCCCACTTTTAGAATGGATTCTCCAAGCCAAATCATTCACTTTCCTTTTTATGTCTACTATCATTTTGGATTTTCAAAAGACATATTCCAGCGCTTTTTTGAAATATCAAGTGGTCTGTCTGTCTCTTCAGTTATTATTTAAAGATGTAGTATTTGTCGTCTTCTTACATGACTTGTTGCATGATTATTGTTTAGTTGTGAATTGGTACTGCAGTTTTTTACGTTAAAAAAGCCTTCTACAGCAGTTACGTAGTTAGACCATTTTAAGAACAGAAGTTTGATGATAATTAAAATATAATTAAAAGCTCTATGCTTTCCACACCCTAGCTCAATAGATTTGTTGGACTAAATTAACAGAATACTCACAGTCACAACATTATTCCTTCGTCGCTTATCGATTCAGTGATCTTTGCAGTGATCAGTTATAATGATCATCACGATTTCTTTTTCAACAGTTAATTAGTTTCGAAGTTTTATAAAAATATATTATTTGTGGTGCACCTTTTCTTAGCACTTTGAGTGACTGATTTATCACAATTTCCATTTCGCTCCAACCGATTAACCTTTCATTCTATTCTTGACTCTTACCGCAACAATTTAAAATCGTAGAATACATTTTTATTTCATTGGTTATTGCAAATGTCCATCCATTGATTTGTATTGCTTGTTCTTTTTCAGTAGAGTCTGGAGACCCAAATGAAGCTCGAATGATTCAGCTATATTGCAGTGCTTACTAGTTTAGTGAGTGTCCAAGTGCTGGTCTCCAACAAATTCTTTTTGAAAGCAGAATGACGGTTAGAAATCGCTAGGCAGAGTAAAAAATTTTTCTAATGCATAGGGGAGGATAACACTTGGATTGGGTTGGGCAAAGCCGATTTGAGCCTGGAGACCCCCAATAAGTCCACTTTTGGCCAATCAATTCGTCTGCTATATCTAGTTGCTTCTTATTATCATATGTCTTTACTCACATGGAATAATTCAAATGTTCCTGCATAACAGTGGAACAGTAAGTGAATGATGCATACAATTTTTTATATATTTTTTCAAAAACTTGGTAAGATTGAATAGCTAAATCGCATTAGTGATTTGAACCGATTTGAATCAGATTTTATTTACAGTTTTCCAATTTTTGTGTGTCTGTCACTTTTCCAGTTCAATCTGTTTTCGAATCGACTTTTTTCTAACAAATTAGAAATCTTTCAGATAATAATAGATATTGCTGTTAACTTTGTCATTTCTGTGCAGTTGTTCAAAGCTAAGTTATGAAAATGGTATGCTTCTTTTGTTATTTTCATAGTAGATTGCATGGCTTTATTATTCTGACCAGATAGTATCCAGTCATAGACAGCTAACTGACCAGTTGAGTTATGTTTACCGATGCTCCGAATATGTTTACCTTTATTTTACTGAGATGAAGATTTGTCGTTGTTATCGAATAAAATTAAACAGTTTAAGGAAGTAATTGGCAGTGAATGCCAGATTGCTATCCACAAAAACTAACTTAGACAAAGGTTATACTGTAGACTAACTTATGACAAGGCTTGATTTACAAGAAGGAGCGAACATGCCGCAAAGGAGGTTAGGTAAATAAAGAACTGTTAACCTAGTTAAATTGGAATATAATTTAGAGTTAGTAAGCAACCGACAAGCAAAACAAAAGATCAACTAAATAAAGAACTGATAATTTGTAAACAATCTAATTGGGAGCAAATTTCTACACATATTCGAGTTAAAATTGAAAGATAAATATTGGTTAAATGATTTTCTGCATGAGATTGGAACATTTGTTGTATAAGGAATGCTCAAATAAGATAGATTTTAGTTTTATGGCTTTCATACAATTATAATTTGGTTTTTCAACAAGTACCTCAAATATTTCTTAAAGTTTATAATCCCATCATAGTGACTGCCTTTTTTGCAAGTGAGAGATCATACTAATTTCAAAAGATTGAAACACACTCAACTAATCTTTATAAAAAGCAATCCCAAATAACGATTGTTTAGAATAAGATCTGAAGAATGTTGAATTCCAAATGTAGAGTCCTCTTTAAGATTCATTTTGAAAAAGTGCAGGATTCACAGCAACAGCAAAGCAAAAAAATTTTTTTCACTTTGTTAAAAGTTTTCAAATCCATTATGATGGAAAAAAAGAAAGGAGAAAACTAGGCGCTGTTTGTTTACAACGCGTGATTTATGAATTTGTCCACGCCGAAGATTTTATTCTTCTTCCTCACATAATTACTCCATAGAATTGTTCAGTGCGATTAGCACACTTTTCATGCGGTCAATCGTACATTCAGTCTCTAAAGGCTACTTAGAATTTGACTTATGCAAGATGGATTATTTAAATATTTTTATTTGCTACTAGAATTTGTATATGTATGTGAAAAAATAATTACAGAGTCCGAAAAGTCGCGGAAGAAGCAAAAGATGAATTAAATATTTAGAATAAGAGCTAGCAGGAAACCGCAACAAATAGATGAGGGAAAGAACCAATTCAGAAAAGTGAGGTAGCGCAAAGTACATAGGAATTTAAAATTTAGCATTAAAACGTGCAGAGGCTGATAAAACTGATGGATACTTTATTTCCTAGTTAGGCTGTTTTTATGCTTGTATGAATGATATAATAATAGCTATTTTATGGAATGCAGTTAAGTATACTGTCCATTGTTATCACATTGTCATCATCTTTATCAGCAAAATAAAGTGTATCCTTTCTCATATTTCAAAGTTGGCTCTTGTGTAGACTACAACTCAGAGTGTGCATTTATGCTTTCATGTAAGTCATTATGCGAACATTTAGGATTCAAAAAGTTTCTTTGGGTTGATTATTCATCACTTCTGATTTAGTTAGTGTCGTGAAACTTGTTTCTTGTAGATTAGAGTCGAATTAGACTTTCGTATGCTCAGGAGTCTTCCTTGTAGTTGATACAGACAAATGCTTTGATTTAAAGATCTGTTATGAGGATTTTATTCGTTAGCAACCACGATGCAAACTATATCGAGAATATGCTTATAAGTTCGTAGTATTTGCCTATGAAAATTAGGTGAGGAAAACAATTAATTAGATAAGGGATTGAGTTTGGCGAGCGCATATGAAAAGTTGAAATTGGACCTTAGTCAGTGAAATGTTGAACATGAATGACCTCCTTATATAGCAAGCATATGAAAAAACAATGTATGTGATTTACAATGAGAAGTTGACTTGCCGAAAGAGATATCAGCCTAACAAAGCGTTGTTGACCTCGTTTACAAGTAAATCTAATTACCACTTAACAAGTCATAAAGGAGTCAGTTAAGCAAAAGTTGTTGATCTTGTAGATTCAAACATAATTTAAAATCAATGACGAAACAAAGGTCAACTAAATAAAGAACTGATACCATGTAAACAATCTATTTGAAAGAGGGTACAAAATAAATAGTTTCAAGCTGTTGTAGAAAGAGAGGATAATGAAGAAAGCTAGCACTGTCGTAAAGGTATAGATTGCTCCGTCCTGCAATGGTTGCTATTTCCAAAAAAAAACCTGCTAATTGTGGAAGCAATGCAGTTAGCAATACATATGCAGTAAGATAGATATATAATGACAGGCGTAATCTTTTCAGGTAATCAACCGAGTGCTGTACTGTATTTAGATAATGAATTTGGAACGGCTGTTTGACGGGTAAAATAAGACAGTCCTTTATTCTATGGATGTAATACGACTTTATTTGATACATTTCGTAAGTTATGCGGAGCTTCGCGAAAATTATTTCGAGTTTCGCGATAGTTAAAGGTCTGAGTATTACCAAAATTGCTTTTCATATGATTTAATAGGAAATCAGAAAGAAAGCACTTTCTTTATTTGTACCTTTTATGTTTATTCATATTATTTTTAATTAAAAGTTAGATCTAATCGACGGAATTGAGTACGAAGTCGAAATTTTAAAGGCATTTATTGATTTTGCTGATGTTATAGCATAGTTTACAATCATGGGGGAAAGCACGAAATGAAAGTCAATGATTGGCGGTTCTTTTGACAACAATCAGATGGGAAAGTGTTGTTGTTGTTGTTGTTATTGTTGTCATAGCAGAAGCATAAGAGAACAGAGTCAATCATTATTCGTTTTTCATAAGGCGTTTATATTGCAAGTCACCCATGCACTAATCGATCCCGCATTAACTTCTGCTGTCACTGCCGACACTTACGACATATTCGGTCCGCATCGACAATTATTTGGCTGATCACATAATGTTTGTTACGTGTCACCGGCAGAAGTTTTTTGAAAATTCAATTTCTTGTTCAGAAAAACTTATGTGTTTTATTTTCTGACTGAAATATGCTGCGATATGCATTATTAAAAACAAAAAACATACTTTCCGTGTCAAAACTGAATAAAAGAAAGTAGAAATGGATCGCTTTCATTGAACTGCGGCACATCCGCTCCGCTCGTTGTCAGTTCCATTCACTGTATTCTGTAACATATTTGTCAAACACAGATTGATAATAAGGTTGCAGATTACTGGCACATTTATAAGCACATAAAGTTGTGTATATGCAAATGCTACAAGCAAAAATGGATAACGATGAAGACATTGTCATCACATCTGTATTGTAAACTATTAAGTCCTTTAGTTTACATGAAATTTGAAAACAGATTTCTTCTGTGTTCTAATAAAATTTGGGATCATAGTCGATCCGATTATTAATTCAATTCTTCACTTTTCATGTTCTATATTTGCGAAATTTAGATCGATCAAGAATGATTTTATAAGATTATTAGTGAATTACTGAAATTGTTATTGCTTACAATAAATGGACGAGCGAAAGGAATTGATTCGTTACTTCTGGATTTCTGAGCTGCTGCTAATAGATTTCCGGATTGTAGAATGGCTGGCATACTTCATCAACTGAGAACACTTTTTTACATAGTACTAATACTAATCATACTGGAAGTGGCTGTGAAATATCTGGATGAGTAATTTATTCAGCCATAGTAGCTAAAAAATTCCATGAAATTTTCAGTTCCAAGTAAACGCTTTGCGGAATCAGAATGATATTTTGGCTGTTGTTTGGAATGATCTGGCTATATGAGGTGGACTTGAATAATAATTAAAATGAAAATTGAATTTTTTGATCTTTTGACCTTTGTACACTTAAGTATATCACTTATTTATTTGCTTAATTTATTTATTGATATTGCCTATCGTACATTATTAATTCGCTTGCATACTCTTTCTGAGATTTGCGCTGTTTCACATTTTCTTATTCTTCTTCCGCATTGACTGACATTAATTGCAGTTTATTTCAGGTGGAAATTCCTCAGAACTTATTTTTCAAGAGGAAAATATAAAATTTGTTACTGAATTTCTTCACAGAGTACCGTTGACCTCTATTTCTATTAGCGATGAATATAAATGTTCCTTCCCCGAACTTAAATAAAGTTTATTGGTAAGAAATTTTGTATTACTAACTAAGCTAAAACAGTCTTTTCGAAAAATATGGGACCATTTCTAATGAAGTTAAAAAATTCTTGAGTATGTTGAGGGAAGAAATGAAGCGAAAAAATTCAAATCTCAGGTATTAATTTCGCAAATGATGTCATCATCAAAGCTTCGATCTAAATCTCAAATAAAAATCATGTTAAAGTTGATTTCTTTTTTTAGAATTCAATAAAATTTTTTCAATAAAACTGATTTTTTTTCAAATTGGTACATAATTTTTTAATATGCTGAAGTCAGGTGACCATCATCAACGAACTCTTTATTCTTATTACCTTTTTAATTGATTTACTGAATTTATTCCGTTTTATGAATATATTCAAGGAAAATATTTCACCACTAATTTCATTCTAGCCTCATTTATATAATTATAATATTTTGTATTAGAGTAGGACTTAAACTGTAGAGAATATCTACCAGAGACTTTTTTTCAGCTCATTCCATCTACATTACCTGATACGACTGGAGTTTTGACTTTCTTAATGCTAAGCTCACTTTTCTCGGTTATCAGCACTGTTTAATTGTATCTTTCTTAATTTATAACGAATTTTCAGGTCAAACTTATTCAGAATTCACTTAATTATGTATTACAACGATATCAAAATCTAAAAATTAAACATACAGATTTATTTTCGTCAGAGTTTGATCATGAAGTACTTGTAATTGCTAAAACCGATAAATATCTATTGACACAAAGTGTGAAAAATGAAAATTTTTATGTCGAAATATAATTTTTGCTGAATTGAGAATTTTATGGTGGCTATTATAGCAGACGATAATTCGAGATGAATGTTGAGGTGACAAGTCTACAAACCAATGTGGATAATCTGTGGCATTGTTTACATGCCTTATTAAAACGTATTGAGCAGCTAGAAGGTATCGCCAATTCGAATACAGAACATAAATCTTCTATCAATAATATCTCAAAAAGAATCAATGGTATCACTGATGATTTAATGTCAATCAACATCAAAGAGAGACATAATGAGGATCCAGATGTGAAGGTTAGCTTTCTCTTGGAAATTTCCAAAAATTATTTTCTCTATGTTCTTCTATCAAAAAAAGCAGCACGAAATCTCCTCGTAAAAACTTTGCAAATATTGATCAGTTTTTGTCAAAGTTCATTAAATGGGTGAAATTGTCCTGTGCCATTATGACAGACGATTATATTGTTTGATTTACTTTTTAGCGAAGATTTAGTAATAGAATCTTGTTAAAATTTGACAAAAATCACACATCTCTATTTTGTATTGAGTTCAATCTTTGCTATTGCAGGATGTATCTCTCTTTTTTCCCCGAAAATCTGTTTTTTTTTTTTCTTTAATTCCAAGAACGTTTCATTACCATAAATATACTAAATATTCTCCGAATTCTGTCCCATGAATGTTCTAGGCATCAAATTTTCTGTCTTGAATTATGGATCCATCATTAGAGCTACCTCTACAGCACATCATTTGTGATAGTGCATAGGCGACACTTTAAATGCAACCTGTAAGCTGCATTACATTGATAGTTAAAGAATAGTTCAAGTTGGCTAACTTTCTCCAACCGATGCAGACTGGAAAAAAGCCATACTAATACCAAGGAAGAAAAACAGATGTCTTGGGAATTTCTTTTTAAAAACCATAAAATATTAACTTGTTTTTGGATACGGAAGTACCAAACATTAACCAGCAATCATAATGTGATAAATGAAGTGACTGAAGAAACCTGCATGAATTGCAGAATCTATTTATCCAGCACTGAAGGGAAGAAATTCGGAAGAGTATGTGTAACTTTGTCAGAAAATCGCAGATGGATTTTCTTGAGCGAAAGCCACTTATAAATTTAAAAGTTCGATTTTGTTTAGGAAATGAAATGTTTTTTATCATTTTCAGAACAAATGAATCATTTAGTCATTTTGTGGCAAAATTAATTGTTATCTAAACCGATGAATTACTGATTCTTCCGAATCTATCGATTGTATTTCTATCATTGATTTCTTGCAGAATACAGCGATATTTCATTTCAGAAAAGTGCAATGTTAATCGATTTCAGTGACATTCAGGCTGTGTTGTTTTTTAATCAAATAGGACAGGCATTTCATTAAAGATATCAGTTTTGTGAATCAACTTGAATACTTGAAGGACGACACTAACCGTTTGTAAAAAATATAAGAAATAGATGAATGGAATGGCGAAATGTATCCTAACATGGCCAGAACATTTCTGTTTGGCTCATTGTTTATTTCAGTCTCAACAGAAAACATTTCTCAAATTAACTAACTTTTTTTACAGAAACAATTTTCACAACACAGTATTCAAAATTTTTTCATTCTTCTACTTAAGAACGGCATTATTTATCCAATTCGTTTTTTATTTCAAATTGGAATATAAAGACTTCCATCACTTCATATTTATTCAGGCACTAATTGAAAAATAAAATCAGGAAGTAAAATTTGAAAATTTTGTCGAAATTGAACTTCGAAAATCTATAATATAAATCTTTAATACGTAATTTATTCAAAATTTAGGTAGTTTGTAAAGAAACGTTGACAGAAGATCCGAAAACGGGTATTAAGAAGCGTACAATGGTAACAGAAAGAGTAGTTACAACCAAAGCATTCCACGTCATACCGATCAATGATGATTTTGATCAGTCAGTGACGACGATTAATGAAATCGCAGAACTTCATGCTGACAAATCAAAAATGTTTAATACAACGAAATTAACTTGGAAAGATACTGAAATATCATCTGCTTTATCATCTGAAATGTCAATCCCGATGACTACGAGAATCATAGAACTTAGTCAAAATCCATTCCATGAAATTGACTACGATCGAGTTGCCAATCTGATCATTATTACCCGAGTGAAGCCTGACTCTGTCTCTAAAGTATTCTTTTATTAATATCGGTTCCATGTACCTGTTAAATAATGTGGTTTAGCTTAGTGATGTTAGCAATTTTTTTATGAAGAATAATGATAGAATACTGGATAAAAGAGTATGTCTTCTGCAGTTATCACTCTAAATAATTCAAGCTTATAAGCTAGAATTACAGATATATAAGAGTTTGACATTAAGTTGAAATCGTTCAAAGCTAGTGCAAGAAGTTACATCAAATTTGTTTTAATTCAATATCGATCCCTAAACTATCAATATATTTTGACATCATTTCTTGAATGCAGTTGTAATAATTAATACTTATTGAAATTTGATAGGAAATTCGTGCGGGTGATGCAATCGTTGAAATCAATGGAGTGCCTGTCACCAAAATCAAGAAGTTAACGAAGTTGAATGGTAGAATAATGCTAAAAATGATGCCGACACCTCTACATCAAGGGCCATCAGTAAGTGTATATTTATTTACATCTAGGAATTTAATTGCTTAGAAAAAACTAAAAGGTGTTCTTATTTCAAATTTAGATTTATTATCGTGCGATACTGGATTATGATGGTTCACACGATAGTCGTGTACCAGTTCATTTCAACGTTTTGAATTTGAAGAAAGGTGATGTTATCCAAGCATTCAGTAAGGATTCTAATTGGATTCAGGTTGCAGATTTGAATATTTTAATATAATGCGATTTTTTTCATTATTTATTTAAAACACTCATTATCAGTTCTGCATCTAAGCAATGAGAATTTTGTCTTTTTGAAATGAATTTCAGATTTATTTAGATATGTTCTCTCGTTTCCAGTTTGGAGCAGATCTGATATCTAGATGGATATACAAAAAAAATAATATACTGTAATGAATAAGGGATAAGTCAAACTTGGCAAAATCATACGTATGATTTAGAGGCAAAGGACAAATCAATCAGATTTAAAAAAAATTTTGAAGCTTTGCAGGGACGGAAAGTGAATGATTTAAATGAAACAGGGTTGTGTCCGGTAAGTATAATCGGTGAGCAGGTCTCAATGCTTTCCCCATTCGGTCGGCGAGTTTTGGTACTATTGGGTGTTCCAGGTGTCGGACGCAGAACTCTCAAAACAATGCTTCTGAGTCATTTGCCTGAATACTTCACATCTGCCACTCCTTGTAAGCTAACTAGTTCAGCACTACCACTGTAAAGATTATTTAATTAATAAGTAAGATGCCCATGCATGTCTAATTATCTAAATTAGGGTTATTATTCTGAAGAACCTCTGTAAAGCGAGTGAGCACAGAACTTTTAAGACCAACTTCATCCTTTATAATGTGAAACTAAGTAAACAATAGCATTGGCGCTTTTGTAGCAGACAGCTGTACAACTTTTTCCTAATAATTTTTACTACTACTAACATTACAATGAGCTTTGCTTAGAAATCCTTTAGATACTTCACGAGTTCCAAAACCTAACGAGTTGGAAGGTCGTGAATATTATTTCCGAACGAAAGAAGAAATGTTAGAGAGGATCCGAACTGGTGATATGATCGAATGGGGTGAACTAGATGAACAACTTTATGGCACTAGGTCTCTACATCTTCCTTTTTCTTACACCCATTTATTTCAGCAAATTTTATGGAAAGCAACAGAAAAGGATGAGATAATATTTCCGGACAGATTCATTAGGTGTTTCAGAACTGAAACTTTCCTATAGTTTCTTTGGTTCTACTGCTCAAATCACGTTGCAGTTTGGAGACAGTACGTAGTTGTATTCGAAGCGGACGGGTTTGTTTGTTGGATTGTGGGCCACAAGCTTTGCAACATTTATACAATGCCGAATTTATGCCACTTGTTGTATTGATCGCTCCTCCGGAAACTGACGACTTTCGAGAAATAAATAAGCTTCGACTACAACCTTACACTGAAGAGCAGATGGAAGCTTATATTCGGGAAAATAAGAGACTGATGGAGAGCAGTTATGCCAAAATGTTTGATATTGTTTTGGTGAACAAAAACTTGGACACCACTTTCAAAAGGTCCTTCCTTACTTGTTTACTGTGCTATTGTTACGCAGCCCAAAGTTTCTTTTACAACACGTTCTTAAAATGATGTTGCAGTCTGAAAACAGTACGAAGTCCTATAGTTTGGGTGTGATTGAGATACCATTTCGGTTCAGAGACCATTCAATATATTCTCTTTGACCTGGTTTTGTATGGTAGGACACTTTGAATTATTGAAATCTATCTGGACTAAAAACTGAATGAAAGGATGTGAGAAGCAAAGAATGGGAATTCTGTTCTTATTCAGGTTATTCCTAAATTTTACAGTTAAGGAATATTGGAAACTTATGAAATATAATTTTAGGCTTATGGAGATTTTGAATGAATTAAGAAATGAAGTGCAATGGGTACCAGAGACTTGGCTGCGTCGGAAATAGTTTTTTTTTTGAATTGAATTTAATCTCCTTTTCGCTTCTACGTATCACTTTAAAAATTAAGGAGTGAAGTTTTCAGTGAATTTTCTGATTTTTGGAATGTGTCGTGCAGTACAAATTACACCAATTTCTAATTCGTGAGATGTGCATTAATATATTTTGAATCGGCAAAATATTTATATTTTTTTCAAAAGATAATGAACTTCTTTAAATTAGATCATCTGCTGCTATGATTAGTTGCTTTATTTTGCCTCTTTCTTCTCCCTTAATATTTTGATTTATTCGTAGTTCTGTTAACATATCGTCGTTCAACTATTTCTATCTCATGTATATCAGTTCCTAACTGAAATTACTTCTCTATAGACGAAGGAGGAATGAGTGGAAAATTAATATGAATGATTTACCATTAACTTTGTTTTATAAAAATTGTTGGCTGAACTTTGATCTGTGGGAAATTTTCATGCTTTTCCAACCTTTTCCTTGTGAGATGTTTTTGGATTAAGGTTGAAGACACAGTATACCATTCAATTTTTAAAACTAAAGTCGAAGTCACGACTACAGAAATCCAGATATTTTTTTCTCTCTCGATACCTTACAAAGAAGCTAAGAAAGATTATTAAAAATTTGGGGAAGAAATTCTTCTTCTGTGTTACGTTTATTCAGTTACTTTGATCTCAGCAATACGCTCCATAAGAAATGCGACAATCAAAATGCGGTTTAAGTAATATTTGTGTGTTGTTCATTCGCTATTTTTGCAATAACAAAGTGTAGTTTAGATGATCGAGTTGACGTTGAGTCACTGCGTAGCTGCTCATCGTAAAGATGAACACGACGTTTAGCTATTTATAGATCGTAATCCTGAAGATGGCTGTTACAAATATTACTGGAAAGTACCACGCTTATAATCATCGATTTGAAAAAAATGAAGTACTGAGAAGGTTATGCAATATTTCCGCTCCAAACGTTTTGCAGTTACCCAACAAGTAGTACCGCCTAACATAGATTTTTAGTACACATCAATTAGCGGCTATAAATATCCTATGGAAGGCCTTATTAGTTCATAATTCTTGCTATCTAGGACATTCTCTATAGAGTCATAGAGCCATACTTATCATCGAAATGTGGTCAACCAATAGATTCCCGCATATAAGAACCCCTTACTCGATGCTTATAAAATTATAATGTAACGTTTTATTCCGGTGTACCATGTACCCTCGGCAGAAATAACACCACGTATATTCACGTGAATACTGCTTCATCCTTGAATACTGAGTTGCTTGAAATACCTGAGTTTTGGATTATAGGTTACATGGTAACATTACGAGAGTGAAGAAGCGAAAAATTATAGGTTACATGGTAACATTACGAGAGTGAAGAAGCGAAACTCGTTAGAAATACATGAAAGGACACCGTTGAAAGGAATCTTCGGAACACAGAAGAGGAGAATGTGGAAGTTTTATTACAATCTTACTTTCCAAGAATAAAAATGGTGCTAGATTACGGTTTTTAAAGTTCTAAAACACTAAGAAAACATCTTGACGAATGCCACTTCTTGTATATTTAAAATATAAACAAGCATATCACAAATGTCCAGAAATACGCTCGCAAAAATAAATATTGCCCTTGAATTTCAAATAGTGTCACCTTGACAGCTTAAAGCAATATCCCGCATTAAAAAGTCAATAATTTTTAGAAATTCCTCACTTTTATAAATTTAGTAAGAAGACTCAGAAATAACGAAACTTTTGTTTAAGGCAAGTCAGGGAGAACAAAAAATAACAATACTTTTGGAAATGCCATCATATTCGCACTGAACAAAAGAGAGAGAAGAAAATTAAAAGCTCATATCTTTTAACGTGTATTAAGTGCTGGCATGTAACAGCATCAAATAAAAACATGCCATTTCAGTGATAAATTTAAGGCGCAAAAAAAAAGGTACCGGATATGTAATGAAAACACGCATTAAGGGAATAAGTAATGTAATATTATATGATAAAGATTGTTTACTTAGAACATGAAAAACTAGTGTTGATGTATTGGTAATTTTTTTGCTTGTTCAGTGTTAGGACGAAATCCTTTAAAAAAAAGATTTAGGGCCTTCTAATATCTGTAATCAAATATGTAAAGAAATAATCGACAAAAAAAAAAAATCAAAAAAAATCTGTTAGCTCGATGAAAATCGTATACGAGAATAATACCGAGAAACTAGTAAGCTGTAATAGTATATCGCTACTAATATTAGATTTTAATTAGATAATAATTAGAATTTAAGTCTATTTTTATGTCCACAACACTCCTAAAATTGCAAAAATCTCGAGATCTTTCAGGAATTTACAACACGAGTTCAAATAACAAACTCCTTCCAGATCATGAAATCAGTAAACAATAGCACAATCAAGGGAAAAAGATTTGTAGCAAAAGGACCCGAATAAATTTATATAGTGGTAGCTGTTGTTGCTGTGGGTGACTCGTTACTTTGCGACCCGTCTTGGCTTCTTTCATGGTCAACCTGATTCAGCACTAAAATGAGCAAATAATGAATTGAATATATGAATAAACAGATACAACAGATGAAAAATGTCTGGATCCGCAGCTTAACTGCAATTAGATGTTAACTGCAATAACAACAATATCACATTAAAAAAGATGATACTATAACAGATCAGTGAGAAATGAAGTGATATTAATTTTGACAAGAAGGCGTACCGGGATAAAACTTTTATCTTACAGCTTAATTATTAATCGGCATACAGTTTAAATTTTTTTTTCAAAAAAATATATATCAAAAATAGTTTTTCAAAAAGGAACAAAAGTGTACAATTTAACGACCAATGAAGGATAAAACAGAAAAAAATGAAAAGCTATACCAACTGCAGTAGAAGTAACAGCGCTATTAAATGCAATAACTGAATGGTTTTGTGACGAGTTTGATTGACCTGTACAAGGCGAAAATGGATTAATTTTGTACAGAAAGCACAAATTACATACACGAACCTGAAATGTAGATATATATGGAAACATTTCTTATAAAAATTCTAAATTATAATAGCATTTAAACTAAAGAAAAACGGTATATTACATGAAAAATAGGATTACGAATAATTAAAATATAATCCCATCTCGTATATAAAAGATGATTTCCTACTCCTATTTTGACAGCATTAGCAATAATATAATAACAAACAAGATAATCACAACAAGAAATAAAAACAACAGCTTAAATTGGGATAGTTTTTTGCAAAAAGGAACAGAAGTGTACAATTTAACGAGCAATAATAAAAAAAATAATAAAAGAGAATGAAAAATAATGCTTCTATAAATATAAAGGAATTATTACTTTTCTATCGTAACCCAATTCGGGAAGCGGTAAGGAGTTGGCAGAACAACGTGAGCAAAAGATTCTCCCGCAATTGCGGCAATGATGACGACGTCGGACCAGTGTAAATTGCGCACTACAAGCAGTGCACTGTTCGCAGTCACTATCTGGTACCCAACGAACACCTACAGAAAAAGATCTTAAAAGATCAATTTTGGTTTTCATCTCATGTAAATGTTACACTTGAAGACCATATAAAAAGAAAACAAAAACTAACCTATAAGGGAAGGTAGAGGAAGTGCTTCCTGAACTTCCAGACCCATTTCCTCCTCATTCTCTGGATTTGGCGCTGTTTTTCCGGATATCTGAAACACAGATACAATACATATGCCTACTACAGGTACCCAACCAACACCAGTGAATGAATGAATGAGGAAAAGTTTTCAAAGATCTGCTTATCTTCTAAAACAATTTGCGAACCAGCGAATGATGAGTAAAACCACCCTTTTCCAATAAATTTTTTGATGAAATTTCGAGACATCAAGAAAGTAAATCCGCATGACATATGACACATTTGATAATGAAAAAAGTAGTTGGGAGGACAGATAAATTCAAACAAGAATAAAAACAAGCCTCAAAGACTGGCACAACATCGTTCGGCTGCAAAATCATCTTTAGCACACGTCGTAAATCAGTGGGGTAATTTGTTTGCAACTGATCAGCAACGCCGCATATGCAAACAAATAAACGATGTATCAGATCGGCAGAAGAACGGAATCGGGCACGCAAGCGATGAGGGTCAGGCGGATGAGTCATACTGTTAAGAATTTCATTTTTTTTTTAAATCATTGAAGAAATCAATTATACTACCACTTATTATAGAAATCCATCAAAAACACTCAAGTTCTTACAACTGTTTCTCAGTCAAACACAGGATCGTCTTTTTAAATTCTTGATCAAGCAATAACCTAGATCATAACACTCTAACTTACATCAGAAGGTCTAATTTCGAAGAATTCTCAATACTGCTACTTTCACTACTGTCTTTGAGACGGATTGGCGATAATATCTTATATGCAAATGTATTTGTGTGACATACGGAACCGGAAGCGCTGGATACGTCACAGTCACCACCATCTGAGGAATTTGAGCTCGAAGAGCCATTCGGTCTACAAAAAAAAACAAAGACAAAGCTAATCAATTTCTATTTGAAGCTTAATAAGAAAAACTATAGAAATAACGATGATATCACTAAAGTGGCGTCACAATTCAGTGAGTTAACGTTGTGTAAAACATGGAGGTCGGCTAGTTAAAATGATCAAAATGTACGTGGACATGGAGAACGACGAATAAAAGTGATAAGAAATAACAAAAAAAATCTTCAAAATAAACTAGTGAAAACAATTGCCAAAAGAAATGAATAGCGAAAATACATAAATCTAAAAAAATACAAATAAGAATTACAATGAAATTAAAGAAAAAATGTTTTTTCCAAAACTTTTTCTAAAATAATTTATTAGCTTGGTAAAATAGAAAACGAACTTAATTTTTTAAAGGATTCATTATTCCAGCTACATTTACTTGTTTATTATTTATTTAATCATTTTCCGCTGACCCATTTCTATTAACACATATGCAAAACGATAAGCTTGATGCAAGTAATTGATATATTCATTCCTTATCATGAACAGATCAATAATTAACGAACAAACAGAGCACCGAAAGCATCAAATTACTAAGAATCTCATTCTCTTCACAATACACTAAATTACAGTGTGCTATGGTTAAGATGATTTCATTGCAAATCACCAAGTATACACTAGTATTTTATTTCCCTCTACACCAGTCTTTTAAATTCCTTTTAGCAAAGTAAAAACTTCGTTATCCTTTTCTAATAATTAATAATTAAATTCTTACTGTAAATTCTGCGCTTCTAAAATCCTTCCAGTTCCTTTTCCAGTAGTTTTCAAGTGAAAATTTGCTACAGTCAGTGTTTCCACGATACTATCTTCACCTGGAAGAGCTAAATAAAAGGAACAGCTTTAATAGTTTGAGTGAACTATGAAAAAAAAAAAAAAAAAAAGTGAAAAAAGTGAAAAAAAAAAAAAAAAAAAGTGAAAAAAAGTATCAATGGTCTGCCAGTACACGTCGAAGGTAGATAATTAGAACATTCATATTGAATCTGTGCATATCTTCCCGAAAAATTAAGGTAGTAAATAGTGTTTGAACGTACCAAATTTAACTTGTGTCTCACCGGTACATAGAGCTTTCTCGACACGACGTAATTCATGCAAGTTCAAAATACGCAATAGGTCACGGATTTTCACCAACAGACTATGAAATGAGCGAAACATATTGGATAATGTTTCAGGATTCGCATCCACATTCAGTGCCCCTTCCGGAAAATACAAAAGACCGCTGCAAACCAATTTCTTTAAACAATTCTCAGATGAATTTAAGATAACATTAGCACTCTATAAAGGATCCATTAGTTAACTGGTCTTTTCAATCTGATAGAAAAAGAAAACGGAAATTAAAAAGCAGAACATACCAAACAATGGCTAAACGTGGGACAGCAATCATCACAATAGGATCACAATCATCGATCTGATCCTGCGTTAGATAATCTAATCTAACAGCTCTGCAAGCAATATAAATGAAGTAATACTTATTTCATTTGCATCATGACTGGGATTTTAAAAAGTGCAAAGATACCTCGAAACCTCAAGAACTGAAGTTTTGTAAACTGAATGGTCATGTCATATATAAACATTTGTAAATGAGGTTATGAGCAGAAACAAACCTATCTAATGCTTCCGAAAATAAAACAGCAATATCCAGCTGACAATCGTATTCTCTCACACTCTTCACTGGAACCATTGCACTTACATAACTGAAATACTCCTGCAGACTGATTATTTGAAGCTGTTAACTGAATCAACGTTACAAGAATTCGACAAATTAACAAATATTTTATAAACTTGACCAAAAAATAGATTCTTGAAACGAGAATGATGATAAATTCTACATCAGTCTAATTTCTTAGAATACAAGATATCTCGCAAAACATTTATGGCAACAAAACATGAAAGCATCTATGTATTATTCATGTCGTGCAAGAAAACTTTTCTCTTGGAAAAAAAAAAGAAAAAAAAAACATTTTAAAATACATTTCTGAGATGCCCATCTTCCACAATAGGAAAAATATATTTTAAAAATATCCACTTCCCATAATGTAGCTAGTGCTTTTATGTTTTGTCGCTACTAACTTCATTCACTAACTTTAATTCAAATTCCGCAAAAAGATGGTCGAAATGCTTTAAACTTCTCTTCACTTTATCGCTATAATGTGTTGGATCTCTAAGAGACTGATCTTTCAGCAAATCGCGCAAAGTGTCCAAATGTTTCGTTAATGCACGAGCCATTGGTCTTATGGCTTCTGATTCCACTTCATGATCAATTATGTTTGATCCTGCCGTAAGACACTGAAATGAAACGTCTATTAGTGTCACTTTCAGTAGCATCTAATCTAGTATTCATATATTTACCAAGTGAATACATTACAATATCAAAAACCAAAAAAGAATCAAAAAATATGGATCATAAGCTACTGAGAAAGTACAACCAAACACAGGTATAACATTTGCCTCAGCGCCAAACCAGAGCTGTCCGGGTAAATTGTCATGCATAATTTCTTCCGGAAACTTTACGCGATAATCACGACAGGCACGATCTGATTCACGTGGAAATACTTGCTGTATCATTTCTGCTGTAACAATGCAAAAGTGAATATCTTTCGAAAATAGTCTCTGATCTTAAACTAGTAACTTTAATATCTCAATGTGATCCAATCAGTTTTAGAACAGAAACATCTTTTCTAAAGATTCACGTGGAAATACTTGCTGAATAAATGAAAAATGCTTAACATAATGCCCCTGACTTTGATTACTTAGTAGAGTGTTTAAAGACGAAAACAACGACAAACTAACAAATTATATGCAACAGACGATCCTGGGCTTGCCTCAATTTGTTAACTAGTTGGCTACAACGCTCTGGGTCACGACGTCCATCAAATGAATCTAATTCGTTGGCCACTGCATTCAGTGCCTCGTCTGCATAGTAAAATTTCGCCAGTGGATTCCAGTCGTCCACACGAGGCTTGTTAACCAGCTTACCTGAAATTGCAAATTCTACTTTGACAACTGCCATATAAAATTTCCAATATAATCTATAATTTGGTAAAACAAATAAAACTAACGCAAGCTTTGCATAGTAGCCGATGTAATACTCCACCAAAAAATGATTACGCCTTTTTTCCACTTTTAATACTACGATGAAACTAACAATCGAACAATGAAAAGAAATGAATACACGAACAAACCAGAAAAACCAATTTCAACAATTCTGAAAAATCAGAAATGACTTATAGTCTTATATATTTCACCTTAACCAATAAGTACTCTTTCAGATTTCGATTTCCTTCTACATAACACTTCTAAGCCATCATTCATCGAGAGAGAGAATGAAAGCGAGAGAGATATTGCACTGCCATATTGCTATGTGTAATATGGGAAAGAAACAATGTTTCAAAAACAGGACCTCAGAAAAAAAACCCTGGCTTGATTTTTAAAAAATAATGAAAAATGAACAAATAAGGTGAAGATAAGCTAGTGCACATTCATAGTTCAGGCAATTTATACATATGTTTGCAACATACAAAAGAAGAGCTATTGTGATTTCTACAATTAAGATAAGGTTCTCTCATAAACTCCTATGCTTTCCTGCCACAGTTCTAATATATGGAACTTGATAGTGATAGAAGATGCTCTAAATATGCTTAATAAATCTACCAGATTTATTTGTTGTTCCATTTCATAAAGTAGATCAGAAATGCAGATAAGACTACCACGAAGGAAAACAGAAAGCCATGCCAAGTAGGTAAAGTAATAAATTGACAGAGATAAAAATAAAGACGTCAAAGGAAGAGCCTGAATCCTACTAGTCCACTCAGTCTTAACTCTGGCCAACTTATTCCTACACCTCCCAACAAACCTAATGCTAACATGGAACATAATCAAGCTGGTTGGTACATGGATCACACCATTCATCAGACCAATCTACATATCACAAGCAAGGGAGAACAGTTTGCAACTTTAATTCCCACTGGGATTAATGACAAAGTGAAACAAACTTGGCAATGAGTGACGTTTCAGGGTATCATGTGAGGAGCAGTAAGCAGATGTTGGTCACAATTAATTTAAAACCTCGACTCATTTTAATGAAATTTCTCATTGAAATCCAGCAATGTATTGTTAAGTTGGTCACTCCATTATTTCAGTTCATATCTGTTAACAATCTTTCGTCATATCTTCTCCACAGTCCATATCATGTCTATACTTACGTCTTATATCCTTTCTTAATACCTTGCAAATCCTCCTCAAAGACAGTTATCTACGAGTGACTGTTTATGGAACAATTGCCTATCCACAAATAATCTATAGTGAGTGACTGACTGCGATACTGTACTCGATCACCAGGTTTACTAATATGGGGCAGTCTGAATTTCATACGGTTCTGCGTTTCTCAGCATTTCCATAAATTTGCATAACATGAAGGATGAAGGAATTGCAGTCCATTTCGCTTCATATATTCATGTTGTAAATCCAAGCACTGAATAGGTCATTTTAGCTTCTGTTTTTTGTTGTGAAAACGTATACGTCTTACACGATCGCCACTACGTTACTGACGTACTTCGGACTGCCATATCTCACATGTTCAAGCATCTGGAGGGTAATGAAAGAAACGTGTACGCGTATATCAGGCCTATACGTGGCTACACATTTCGTTATAGGTGAGTCATTCCAACAGGAAAGCCATCCAACACAATGAAGTCTACAAGGGTGCAAGTAAAACCTATTGCAAATTCAAGTATTGGTGATGATAGGGAGAGGGTGGAGGCAGCTATCTTTTTCTTACGTTGTCAGGTATCGCTTTGCTCTTTCGCTACTTACTTTACCATCTTCTATTTATGGGACGAATTTTTTTTTGTGCTAACGTAAATGTTCCACATAACCTTTTCAATATCGTATTTCACAATAAAACTATTATAACAACATTATAACTTTTTCGAACCACAATGCAAACTGATTGTTGGTTATGAGGAGTGATGAAGTGTGAAAGGACAGCAATGGACGGTTGTAGATTCTCAGTATTGAGAGCAGGAGCTGGCGGTAATTGCTTCATAATTATGGTGAATGGTAAAGGTGGAACTGAATATGAATTCACGTTTTGATAACTAATTATGATTAGTTCAAACTTCGTGCGCAAACTAAATATATTTGCATAACGTGGATTAAATAAAATAAGTACTGCATTTATATTGTTTTTTGCTTTATTTAGTTAATTCACCTGCGTGAGCGTAACATTTAGGAATGGATGACAAGGAAATACATCGAAGAGATACGTATAATGTACCTTAAGCCACTGGATGAATTGTGTAGCGGGGGAAAGCGGGCCGTTGGTAAATAACTTCCATTTTACAAATTTACAGTTCTCAACTCACATTCGTAAACATCCCTTATCTTCAAGTTTGACATTTTTCAAGTAAAGAGAAGATGTAAAGAATAAGTAAGCACTTTGTGTATTTGCTATTCTTACTTATTGTACCATATTCCTCTAACTTTTGTAAAATTGTTTCTAACTGCTAAAGAGGACATAATTTATATTTGCTCTTATAATAAATATTCTTTTTCATCGGTATTTTACTTCCCTTTAAAACTTTTTACGGTTAAGATTTGTTTGCATTTATCTTATTTATTGTAGAATTTGTAAGTAAATCAATGGAATCTTCAAGCGATCGCTCAACAGACGGAGCGAATGCTGCGAATAAAGTTGATGGCACTGAGGGCAGTCACGTGAAAGTTGCCGAGAAACTACAGCGTATATAAAATTATATTTGCACGGGATAGCCCTGTTTAGATTTAAAATTCTTCAAAAATATGCTGTTAAAATAGGAACTTATGAATCATTCATTGGCAGACACTTTTATAAATATTTGAAAATGTTTGCGTGTTATGCATCAACAAAAAGAGTAATTATTGACTCAGGATTGATTTATGATTTGTAGTGTCAAGATTTATCTTCATCATAACCTAAGAAATTCGTAGAGTTGAATTTTGAGAAGCGTTGAAAACTCTGCAACAAGATGATGTGGAAATGACACAAGGTTATCGGCCATTAACTCGTGAAAAAACAGTTTCATTAGCTGACTGTTGCGCATTGTATCGGTTGGAGACAAACCTAAAGGCAATGGAAGAGCTACTGGATATACAAGCAAGCTTGGATAAGTTTGTTTCTTCTTAAAATCTTTTTTCTTCATGAAAATGTTAAGTGATTTGTTCAAAAGTAGAGAGTAGCGATGAAATGAAACGGATGCAACTGATTTCTTCTTTTTATTCTCCTAAAAGGTATTAAGAACTGAAACTTTTTTTTGCATTTTCAGTGAAGATATCAACTTAGAAAGTTATGTATCAAGCAGTTGGATACAAACAGCTATGATTAATTTTGTAGATGGTTCGAGAATAATAAAGCTAATGTGGCCAAACACAAGGAATTATTAAAAAATTTGTTAACTAATGCTCTTACCAATTTTGAAATGGCATATATAATCACCGAGTTATTTGCTATTCCACAAGTGTCGCTACAAGAAATCCAGAAAAATAAAGTAAGTCAGTTGAAAATTGAAACACTGAACATTTGCATCACTTTGAAAATCCAAGTTCCCTCCCATATCATTGCAAGAAATCATATATTTCAATTTCGTCTCAGAATGAGCTTTATCAACAAATTTACTTTGTTTAGATTCTCTCATATTCATTGTCTCAGAAAAGGCAGGTTTCACATGTGGCAATTCTGTTATTTTATTTCTTGTAGCCGGAATATAGCAAATACATTCGATCAAATATTGGCGCAAGGAACATCGCCATTATCAACAAGCCACTAAATAAGGGAATTATTACGAAAGACTACATAAAAAAACTTGAAGGACAGATCAATCATTTTAGGTCAGTTACTTATACTTTTTTCCTTTGACGGCAAACAATAGAAATCAAATTCAAGTATCCAAAGTTGAAATTTAAGTATTTGACAGAAAAAGAAAAGCTGGTATTGTTTGATTTATTGTGAAGAGAATCATTTATTAAGAAATTGCAGCATCAATTTCCAGAAAATCCTGGCACTCACTTCTTTTTTTAACTTTTTCACATTCACTTTAATCTTATTTATAGGACAGTAGTGTATGAAATTGCAAAGAATCTCGAAATTATTACTGAAACAGTTGCTGCGAATGTTCGAGACCATCATTTGGAAGTAAACATAAAACAGGTAATGATGTTAATAGCACGAGAACTCTTTCAATAAAAACACTCAATATCCGTTTAATTTGGAAGGATATAACAAATAAAAAAAAATAAGGTTGCAGACAAATAGCATATATGATTTTTTTTTTTTTAGATAGCAGTAATTGTCAATAATTTGCCGCCTAGATATCGCTTTCCAGAAACAATTTACCTTTCACCTTTTGCAAAAAAACTGCTGACAAATGCACCTACGAGTCCGAACGAAGAAGATTTGTTTGGCAATTTTGTTAGTAGTTTCTTCAGGCAAATTCCAGTTTAAAAGGTCAAAAACTTTCGGTCAGAAATTAACTCATCACTTAATTAACTATTCTTTGTTGCAAAACTTAGTGATAATTGTTAATTCTTTAAAGATAGATAATTTACATAATGGCAGCAGTAACTCGAAACTATTAATTCAGCCACTACAAACAATTAAATCACGCTCTCTTCGAGGTACACAGTTGACGAGTCACTTCCATTTTTTGCAACAAAAAACCACATTTTATGTCAGCTTGTAAGACAAGTTAAAGAAGTCACTTTTTCTCAACATTGACAAAAGTTTCTAATTTCGCTCCTTTCCTACCCACACTTAGTACAAGCAACTAAATTTTCACTTTATGCCAATTCTGTTTAGTTGTTGACAAAAAAATTTTAGAAGTTAACTTCGAAATTTAAACTGAAATTATTCACGCTTTATTATATTTTCAGCCAAATGTGAAGCATGAAAAATGAAGAGATATCACTAATTGAATCAAAAAAGAACTGTTGTATTGCGAAAAAAATGAGATTGTTTTGAAAGAGTAAGAAAATCCAAGTCACTGAACAATAAAATTTGAAATTTGAAATGAAAGGAATACATCAACTACAACTATCACTCTAATTCATTAATGAATACTCACTGGCGTAGTCTCGAATTCGAATAATGCTGCATCATACTAACAGCTCTAAAAACTTAAGACAGTGAAATTGTTACAATAAAATAAACAAATGAAAGGAAGTTTCCACAAAACTGCATAAGAAATATAGTGCTAATTTGCAAAGTGGTAGAATTTTCTTTAAAATTCGCCTTTATCCATGCAAGTAGTTAAAATGACACGAGGGAAAGAACTTAAAAAATAATATTGTATGTAGAGGAGTACAGTTAATCGTCAAGGTAACATCGTAGCTACGAGAGTTGTGTCAAATCATATCTAACATGCACAATCCATCTGACCGGCATACAACTCTTAAAACCACGTAAATAATGTCAAACAAGGAATCGAAATGTGTGTGAGTCTGTCATTTTCGTAGTGCCCCCGCTGAATTACGTCCTGTCGTGATTGGTACTCATGTGAACTTCGCGTGAGATACTGGCAGGGTGGCAGAGCTCCGACATATAACGTGCGGCAGTGTGACATAGCCTACTTATTTCTTGTTAACACGTATAGAAACACTAGTTAGAGATAGACGAATATCTATGTGGGGTACTAATGTACAGAGTACGTGGTTAATAGTATATAGGAACTGTCAACTTGACCTTATTCGCATTGATGCATCATTAAAAAAAACAGTTACGTAATACAGTGAATGCTTTAGCCGTTTAAGGTTGTAAATGAAAAACAGTCGTGTTGATAATGGCAGTTACACGAGCCGCTGCACCAATGGTTGGCAATTGCAGTAGCGCTATGCTTATTATAGGAAGACGATATTTTTCATCACCTTTCACTGAAAAGTTGAGAAAAACAAATAGAAAGAAAGTGATCGATTTAGCGGCCTATCCACCAAGTATTACTAGTTTCCTTTTCGTTCATTCTCTTTATGTTTTTTTATGCATAGCAACATGATGCCAGTGCATGCATGCCTTATCACCATGAAGCGCAGTTCGAGGGATGAATGAATGACCTCTCTTGTCTTTCGTTTTTGGAAATGTTGGTATTGTTTTTCATCAGTTTGGCTCACTATTTTGTATAATAGTTTGCTGATGCATAAACGAAATCTCTTTCTAATTTTTGAAGAGAAGATACGTAACTTCGGCATTGTGGCCCACGTGGATCACGGCAAAAGTACTCTGGCAGATCGATTTCTCGAAATGACAGGCGCCGTTGAGAAAAGTAGTCATGCTAGTCAAATGCTTGACAAATTGCAGGTTTACTTCACTATTCGTAATCTTGTCTTCTAATTAATGAGTATTTATAATTGTTTTTGTCTGTTTATTAAATATTCTGGTTAAACTTTTCAATATTTAGCAAACTCATTTTTTGCAGGTAGAGCGGGAACGCGGTATAACGGTGAAAGCGCAGTCATGTACTATGTTTCATAAGGTATTTCGATTAAATATATGATTACTTGATTTTGCCGACATGTGGAATTGCACAGAAATTTTGTAATTAATTTGATAGTCATATAACTCAAAGCAGGTAGTTATCACGTAGAAACGATGGAAAGATTTTATAAATAAGCAGTTTCAATTAATTCTATTATTTCCAAATAGTAGTATTTTTCTACGATAAACTAGAAGATAAATAAGAGCTAGAATTTGGAAAAAGTCATTATTTTATATAATGAACGACTGAAGCAAAATGATATTATAAATACATTACAGGATTGCATGTTGAATTTAATCGACACTCCTGGTCATGCTGACTTCAGTTTCGAGGTTGCTCGATCTCTTACTGCTACTAATGGAATTCTGCTTCTTGTCGCCGCTAATCAGGTCGAATTCTGTGTCGCTTTTGAAAACTTTTTGTAAAAATTTCTGACCAAATATACAACACTGCTACTTACAGGGTGTACAGGCGCAAACGGTGGCAAATTTTTGGCTAGCATTTGAAGCTGGTTTAACAATAATCCCAGTTATCAATAAAGTGGATCTCAAGAGCGCTAACGTTCCACGAGTTCGTTCATGTTCCATCATTTTTTGTTTTTTTCTTCAATTCAACTAGTTCTATTTCTTTTCGGAAAATTTGGTAGAATTAGTATGGGTCGGAAGCCTGAGCAGTCTCTGTCCTGGTATAGAATACTTAACATCCACCGTCCCTCATCACCTATCGTTCTTTTTCATTTCCGAACATTTGTAGGTAGTATCACAAATGGAGAATTTATTCGATTTTTTACCATCAGAAATACTTTATATTTCTGCTAAGAATGGTACTGGTATTGGCGATGTCTTGGATGCCGTTGTTGAAAGGTTATACATTTGCAATATTTATTACTTCATATTAAAGATGGATTTTTCCATACCTCATAACTTAAACACTTACTGGGTCACTTCATAGTTTTTTCTTTTTTTCATCCTCACTTTTTTGCAGACTACCACCACCCAAAGTTGAAGCACATTCTCCTCTTCGTGCACATGTTTTTGATTCCTGGTATGAGACTCATCATGGTCCAGTGGTTTGCGTTGCTGTGCATGATGGTGTGATTTCTAAGGGGCAGAGAATACGAACGTATCATAGTGACTGTGAATACGAAGTGTTGGTAGTAGGCATCATGATTCCGAATATGTATGAAGTTAAGGTTAGGTAATTTGTTCATGGTTTCAAATGATTTATTGCCATCCTTTCGCTTTTTATTTCAAAAAGGTGTTGCAGTGTTTATATGCTGGCCAAGTTGGCTATCTGTTAACAACGATGAAATCGGTACAAGATGCTGTTATTGGAGAAACGTTATATGATGTAAGCGATGAACGGAATATGGTACAACCTATGCCTCTAATAACGGTTCGAGTTTGAAACGTGGTTAGTGGACAAATTAGTATGTTTATTTTTAGTCATATCTGTCCTGAGAGTGGTCAGTTAGTGTATACACAATGAAAAAACAGGGCAAGTTCTTTCCGCTAAAATCTTCAAAAAAAGCAAGCATAAAGGGCTGGTCAAATTGTAGCCTACTCCGCCATGCATTTATGCCAGTATTTATCCGACAAACATAAATGAATATAATGCCTTGCGCGTTGCGCTTTACAAATTGGCTTTAAATGATTCATCAGTGCAAATCCAGCATAGTAATAGCACTGCGTTGGGGAATGGTTTCAAGATTGGTTTCTCAGGACATTTGCATATGGAGGTAATTTTCTGCTTATTAAACTTATTAAAAGCAAAACAGCCATAATAGTTAGTTTTTTTTGGAAAAATAATTTCACTTTTTTTACATGCTGCTAATAAAATGAAACATCCAAAGTTAAAGTAACTATTTTTCGGGTTTTTTGTGCGAGATTGGAGCAGGAATATGATGCTAACATTACCATAACTGCACCTAGTGTCGAATATCGCGCTGTCATTAAAGACAATCAGACTATACTAAAAAAAAGGTGTTTTATAAAATCTTAACCTTATTTGCTACATTTGTATTATTTTTTTGAGTTGAAATGGTTATTTTTCATTTTTTATTTTTAAAATTCTTTTCTTTGTTTCTGGATGAACATTACTTATATGTTCAGTTTTTTATTTTTTCTAGATACAACGGTCAACGTGTTATTCGTCTTTTGGATGCTAGTGATTTCCCGGTTTGCCCCAGCGACATTGATCATTTCTTAGAACCGATGATAAAATTAACACTTTTACTATCCACTGCATATTGCGAGCACGTAGAAAGATTATGTGTTGATGCTCGTGGAGAGCAAGGTATCATTTGTGCTTGGTGCAGCTGATTTATATATTTTATTATACATATGTAATATATTTTCATAAAATCAATTTATTGAACTTATTTCTATAAAAGATGGGAATATTAAGCTTTCCTTATCTCGTTCATTCAGTTGAGAATAATGGGTTGGATACAGACTGTATTATGCAACAATGGAGATTACCTTTTGCTGAAGTTTGTATGGACTTCTTCGATAGATTAAAAAGGATCACGAGGTTGCTATTTTTACTTATTCCGTTTGCCAGATTACTATTTCTTGCAGAAGGTCGTTATCCTGCTTCTTTACTCAGCATCATTACCTAATTATTCAGTGCTTTATAGTTTTTTGGTTCTTCTTTTTTAAGAAAAGTTTCGAATGACAGAAATATTCATTTATATTTTAGTGGTTATGTGACATATAATTACCAGTGGGATGGCTTCCAAAAGGCGACAATTGAATTGCTTATGATACATATCAATGATCTTCCTATTTATGAATTCTCAGAGATAATGCCTTCAAATCAAATTAAAGCAAGAGCTAAAGAAATTGTAAAGAAATTGAAAGAGGTTAGTTTTTACACAATTTCTAAAGATTTTTCATCTTCTCTGATTTTTTATTATGAAAAAAAATATTTTGAAAATTTTTATAATGCAGGAGATACCTCGTCAGCAGTATGAAGTACGAATTAAAGCTACTCTTGGACAATCAAAAAAGGCGCTAGTACAGACAGTTATTGCACCGGTCAAAAAAGATTTCACAGGTCGATTGAAAGGCAATTTTGGAGGTTTGATAACTTTTGAGTTTAGTTTAATAGTTTTTGTCCTGCTTTTTTTCCTTCATACCAATTTTTTATCTGCGAGATTTCACTTTTTAAAAATTTCATTTGTTTTATTGTGTTCGTATTTTTATTATATCTTTAATTTTTTCTTTCATCTGCGTGCAAGCTGTTTGCTTATTTTAATTACTATAATAGTTTAATAAGTTTAATCTTCTTTTGCGATATTCTTATCATTCTTCATTAATACATTCGTTTTTTGAATATTCAACTCCATTATTTTCATTTAAAATTCTTTCTTTATTTCTTGGTGATTTCTATTTTTCATTTTTTATGGTGAATATTTCTCTTCTTTTACGTAAAAACCGTTCATTCTAATTCTAGGTAGTGGTTGGGAACGTTTCTGTAAGAAATTGTCGCATCAGAAAAAAGGAAAGGAACGGATGAAACAGCTGGGTCAAGTACAAATCCCTAAAGAAGCATTCATCAATGTACTGCGGAGGTAATATAACTTACTTGATTCCTTGTTACTGTTGAGTACTGAAAGATACGCTTTGGTGAAATACAATGATGTTTTGGTAAATCAAATCGAAGTGGAGTTATTTCGATAATAATTCTGATGGTCATCACCATTATTTTTCATCCTCAAGTTGTTTTATAATTGGTATTTCGTAAATGATATTAATCCAGTTTTGCTTTTATCACAATAATAAATATTTAAGAATTTTTGTTTCAGATTGAAATCCAGGTTTTAATTTCCATAATTTTTAGGAAAGATTCCACTCATGATTTTTTTTTTGATGATTTTTTTTTTTTTTTTTCATATTTTATCATATTAATAGTCGATTTTATTATTAATAAAGGATTTAGTGAAGTCATTTTTATGAAAGTTTTCCATATTTGCAAATGAAGGTGAATTTAATTCTGTAATTCATTCAATTATTGAATTAAAAAATTATTTGTTTATGAACTGCTTATGTCATGTAGAAATTATATTATGCTTCTGCTGATATTGAAATTAAAGGATCAATCTGAACCAGTTGATTTTGCAACTCTGTTGGAATTATTGCAAAAACTATGAAATATAAAAAAAATAGGTATATTGTGCTACGTTTTCGTGAGATAATCTCTATTGTGAAGGCATGTATTTTTCATAAGATGAAACGATGGCTACTGATGTAGCAAGAATAAATTATTAAAAATGTAGTACAACTGTTGGATCAATTTAATTCTCAATTACAAAGGTTTATTTTACATAATTAGTCTTATATCCCATTGTGCAGATTTGACTAGTGTAGCCGGCAGTTAAATAGTATAAAACTGCAATCATTGCTTGGTGTGAAAATGGAAACTTTTTAACAATGGTCTCATTTCAGCTGAGTTACCCAACCAAGTGAAGTTTTAATTGCGAAGATTCTGAAGTGTATCTCACAAAGGGAAGGTAGACCCTTAGCATCTCTGGTTATATATTATTCATTAAACAATTGTAGGAGACATTCCTTCAGTGGCATTCTAGAAGATATAGGACATCAGTGACACGGAGAGATGTACAGTGTCTATTTCTTTGTCTGCATGTTCTTGACATATGAAATATTATCTCTGTAATAAATTTCTCGATAGCAAGGAGATTTGCGTTTGTTGACCATTTCGTTCGTCATATAGAATTTGGCTATTTATTGATACAGTGAGAGGTTGTTTGTACTGTATCGTCTTTTTTCTCCTTGTCAAGGTAGAATTAGTGAGGATGGTAGAAATAACAGGAAATCTTAGGTGTTGAGCGAATTCTGCACTGAATGAATTGAGAAAATATATTGGAACAGCGTGCACTGCAAAGGGAGAGATAGACAAGAAAGTAGGTTAAAACAAAGGAAACATCTGAAATGGCTTTATGAATGTCTCGAAGTATCACAAACACTATATATTGATTAGATGATAAGCTGAGATTTTTTAAATTATAAATATTAAAACACATCTGCTTATTCTTTTTCCCTTGTAATATCTAATATTATCCAATCATAAACTGAGTGAGTATGGCGAAAAGAGATGACCGCATACAGCGAGCGATATATAACGAGAAAAGTTGTTGTGATGTACGACTGCTTCAAATGATCGTTTATTTCTTCAATTTTCTCTTTTATGTTAGTTTCTTCTATTTCATTATTTGCTCGTAGCGAAATGCTATTTATGTTTCATTATTTTGAAAAGGCTAACATTTGGAGTTTGGTAAATGTTAAATTTCAGTAAGGGAGAGTTCGAACTTTTTGAATTCCAAAAGAAAATGCCATGAATTTGATGTTAATTTAAATCTTAATATCAATGCCTATAACAGATCAATTCCATGGCATTTATTGGACTAGCTATGTGGACTTATACTATGAAATATACAATGATTGGTTCGTTATTGTATAGCAACAGGTACCTGCACAGTATCGGTCTGTGCTTCGTTGTTGGTTTAGCTGTATTTATTGTAGCTTCCTCAGGTTGTTGGGCTATTTTAAAAAGAAAACAATTGCTGTTGTTATTGGTTGGTACTACTTTATATAGTTCATATGTTGCTTATAGCGTATTTAATTTGTCTTTCTCGTTGTTACAGCGTAGTCAACCGCAAGTATTATGTATGGCTTCCGAATGACCTGTTTTTAGTTGTCAGTACATCTTTATCTTCAAATAAAGTTGTTAGAATAAAGTGACTATCGATGTTATAATTAAGTGTAGTTGGACCGTTCTTTTCAGTATTCTGTTCTGGTATTAATTACAATGTTGATGGAATTAGCACTATGTATTATGACGTATGCTTATGTTGAGCACCTTGAAAGTAATCTTGGAACGACCTTACTTATGTCAGTTATTCGCGATCATTCTGAGCGCAGTGATATTTCTCAAGCACTGCAGCACTTACATCAGCAGGTATCACAGTATATGTTCAATATATCGAAGCTATTGTTTATCTAACGAATGCTTTCTATTATGTATTACGAGGAATGTTAGTAGGCATATGTTTACGCTAAACGCCTTGAGAATAATTTTGAGATAATCTTACATATGTTTGTGAAGATAGCGCCACAGATTTATTGAATATGGCGTGAAAAGATAGGAAAATTCATCAGTTCGATTTTTTCCAGATATTTTTATCACTTTTTCAAATAATATCACTTGCTTGTCATTCTTTTTTTGCAGGGTCGCTGTTGTGGTTCTCAGTCTTTCGAGGACTGGCGTGATTCTGTTTGGTGGCAAAAGGTAAATGGCCTAGCTGAGCTTAAACAGCGTTCTTTTGATTTGGTTGTACCGGATTTTTGCTGCCGTTCAGTGAAACCGAACTGCGGACGCCGAGATCATCCCTCCAATATTTATTATAATGTGAGTTGCTGTACATGTCAATTACTCATGCTCTTTATTTATCAGGTTCTCCTTCAGTACCGCTCCAGAATATTAAGACTTGCTGAAGAATCAGTCTAGTTTGCTGATTTGCTAAAATTTTTCCTTATTCAAAATTTATTATCTAAGTTTAATGGAATTTTCAGGGATGTTTAATTTATTTGAAAAAAATGATAAACGAGCAATTACTGATCATATGTGGTACTGCATTTGCATTTGCAGTTATGCAGGTGTGTCTTCTTGTTATTAAATCTTACCACCGAATACAATAAAAAGTATCTGAATAAACTGAACCAACGGAATCAGATTGGATAGAACTTCTTGATCATTTTTTATGTAATATTTTTAACGAATCAGTAGTTGACATTACAATAATTGTGCCTAGGTTTTGCTTCTTTTTACATATTTGAATAACTTCCAAAAATATTTTCTAGCTATTTGGCATGTGTTTTGCTGCATATTTGTATATGAAGTGGCGTGAATTCTTAAAGTTTCGATCTATAAGCTCTAATAGCAGGGAAAAGAACGATATGACTATCATGTATTCTTTATGAATTTTTTTTTTTTTTACCTTTCTTTTTCTAAGTTGATGAGTATATATTATACAGAATACATAAGTTCGATTTGAAGTAAAAACATTCCTGTTTCTTTATTCAAATATTTAGAATTATTTCATTTGCAAACTCGCAAAATTGGATTTTACAATATCACTATTATATTAATCGTATGGTCCTGTTGTACCTTTGTCTATATGTTACAGTGTTGTTTATACCTACGTTGATTTTCTATTTATTAATCGAGAGGAAACCTAATCTTTATGTAATATTTCTTTAGCGGTAACTTTGATGTAAAGCTTTCAACTCTCATATTGTGTTATAAGACTTTTTCCGTTATTCACTAGTTGTCCTGCCTTGTAAAATTTCATTTTTTTTTTTCAAAATTTTTGGTACTACCCAGGTGGCAAATAATACTTTAATATGTTAATGCTTTTTTTAATGTCATAAATCACTGCAATGTATTTCGTACAGTTTTGTCTTTCAAATATAATAATTTTGGGCCAGTTATTAAGCATTTAATAAATGTTATATATCGTGCGATTCACAATTTTGATTAGATCGTATATTTCCTTAATATTTTGTAAAAAAAAAAAAAAAAAAAAAAGTTTTGTCTTGCACAACAAGCTTTTGTACTTGCAAGTAAATCTCTGAAATATTCCATCAACTTCAAATGTGAATAGAAACGAAATTTTCAATCGAATTGATGTGCAGGAAAAGCATATTTAACTGGTATAATTGTGAAATTTGCTATTTAATCTTCACCTTTGGATCCATGTTTGATTAATACAAACAAAATTAAGCGATCAAAAATCAGCTGGACAGAATGTAGGTTGTTGAAGGAAAAGGTGACATTTGGGAAAATTCGCAAATTTTGACATGCATCATTCGACCTTTGACACTGGATTTGCAAGAAGGCGGATAAGCTTTATGTTTGAAGTACTGTATTTCAAATGATATAGGTCGTCCGTCCCTAACTTTTGTCAGTCGTAACAAATTTATCTCATCTCAGACTTGAGGCGTCCTTTTATTCTTTACTGTAGTAACAGCGTCAATATGCGCAGAGAAAGCGTATTTGTCTTCTACCAACTTACAAAACTTGATCCATTAATGGAGAAATTTGTGGCGCTTGTTTCCAGTGATATTTCTTGCTGTAAATTTGTCTCTTCAGAATTTTAGAAAATGAAAGGAAGTGAGGCTTTACTCCTGCATTTGTTGGCCGACTAGTTCGAGAATTCAAACGAGCTAATTAAAGGAGAGAGGAGAGAGAATGAGGATGAAGTGAAGGGATGGAAGAGCTACGGTTAGTGGATTACCTAAGGGATTTGGCGGAGACCTGCTTCGCAGACTGCAAAGCCCATAACCAGAATTCACTAGGGAATTGCTGCTATGCCGCAAACTAGTCCATATATTGCCCGTTCAAATCATCTCTCCTGTCTTTCTCCCGTACCCTTCCCTTTCCGCAACCCTCCTTCCCGTTCTTTTCCTATAAAATCCTATTTATTCCAGTTGGCGACTTTCAGATTTCCGTCAGAGCTCAAGCTCACTTCCGAACCTTCTGTCACTTCAGTGAATGTGGTATCTGTGTGCTTATAGTATTTATATTCATAGGAAGCCTTATCATTATTTTGTTAGTGGCCGAAAATCTCAAATCAACAATGTCAACAAAAAGAAAGCAATTTAAACCGAAAGCATTCAAAGGTATAAATTGTTTCTCCAAATTTCCTATTTGTCCAAGATTTCTACAATCAAAATTTTCGTTAAAACAACAAATTTGAATCTTCAGATACATGAGTAGCAGTTTTAGTAAACAATTTACGTTTGCATAAAGCTTAGACTTCAGTAAATTCACTTAAAAAATTTCGTAGTTGCTTATGACACTTTATTGTTACTGGCAATTATCACAATGTTTCTTTACCTCACGATCGCTACTTTACACAACTGTCGTAACATCGAAAGTAACGGACATTGTTCTTCAAAGGAAGTTGTTAACATCCAAGCTGCTTAATACACTTGCCAAAATTGGCTCAGATAATTTTTTCTCTACTTGAATCTTTTTGAAAATGCATGTTGTTCTTGCCCATTAATATCACACATTCTTTACATCCCAATAATGACTTCCTCCAAATAATTTTAGGAATCAGGCAAAGCTAATAGACCTGCAGCAGTTGAACTTACTGACTAATAGTTAAGCTGTCATTCAGTTATTTTTTTTAATCTTCCAGTCGGTTGATTATTATTTAATGAAAATTTTATGTCTTGAAAATATTGCAGATGATGAAACAATTAATAATGATTATGATGGTTTACATAGGGAGCAAAGAGTACAAGGAAAGAAAAGGTTTGTTCACAGAACTACTACCATTTATTTTACTAACGACTTCTTAAAAACTAATATATCTGCTTTAAATTAAAATCTCTTTTGTAACGACTGATTAATCATGTTTCGTGATAGCACATTAAAATTTGACTGATGCGTATCCATTAAACTAAGTCCATAACAAATATTTTGTTCAGAAATTTTTGTTACAGTTGACACTGAACAAAAGTCTCCAAATTCTCATAAGTGAAGTGAGTGGTCTGAGTAGATAATTAGTGGGAATAATAGAACTAAAGCAAACCTTAATTTCATGCAACTCTTCATATTGCATTAAAAAAGTGACCGTCACTATATCTTGATTTCTTAAGAAAGCAAAAAAATGATGGAGAATCAGAGATCAACGGCAAAGAATCATCTCCAGAACCTTCTCTCTTAGTTAAGATCATAGATATGGAAATAATCTGCAGCTTCTGTGAGACTAGATTTGATGATATCAAGGCACTACAGAATCACACATTACAAAATCACCAGGTATAATGCTTTCAAGTGCTGTAATTACAAAAATGTCACATTCAGTCTTCCTTCTGGGTCTACCAAACTTATCATTAGTTGCTGCTTACAATGCATGGCGAGTAATTTCACCTATTTCCTTGATCCTTCACAATTTCTTTATTCCTAATACGAATTTATTAATTTATTCGAAATCATCTATTTTCCTTAGGAATTATTACGTTAAGTGTTCGTTGGAAGATTCCATTTGTTAAAAAAATATAAGTTAACGTGCAAGTGATTGCTGCATTCCATGAAGACTTAATTATTTTTTATTTCAGCAGCGACAGCAGCAGCAAAATATAAAAGTGGAAAATGAGGAAAACGATGCAGTTTCGTTGAACAACGAAGTATACATTCGTTTTTGTTTATTGCAAAAAACACAACAAGAAAGGGAAATATTCTCGATATTGCTTAAGACTCTGTTTGAATTAATATGACAAGATTTAAAATATTGAAACGATACAAAATGATAAAGTCTAAGTAACTGATCTCTCTATTTTTATGAAAATATTTATGTCCAACCAAAACCAAATTAAATCAAATTTAAACCAAATTCAATTAAAATCCTCTCAGATCGGTCGAAACAATGGCGAAGGTCCATCAATGGTATGTCAACAGTGCGACACGACACTGCATGGTTTTGCTGAATTTGGTTGTCATATGCGAACACATTTAATCAGTAAAGATAAGGAGCAGAAATGCAGTCTTTGCAGTGCCATCTTCACCGATCCTATTGTATTCATCTTTTTACTCCTTCAAAAATAATATAGATGATGCGAAGAAAATATTCGTAGCAATGAAAATTTCTTTTTCTCCCACAATTTTTGACTATAAAAGTATTCAATAACTAAAAAACACTAGCAACTTTGTTTACTGTCACCTACCTATTTCTCTTAGATTCGATTATCACATATTGTTGAACATTTTATGGAAAATAGTATTCGTATACAATGCAAAGAATGTCCGACGGTAACGTTTTATAATTTTCAACAAGTTCGGCAACATCACTCTGACGAGCATTTGGAGATACTATACCGCTGCGCCATATGTCATCAAATGTTTAGCAACCAACATCGTTTTCAGGTGCAGGAATTCCGGAATTTCATTTGCAAATGCAATGAAATATGATAACATGTAATATATTCTCAGGAGACTTGAGAGAAAAATGACGACGAATAGGCAATCAATATGATATGCACAAATATCGGGATTCTCATATTCTTGAACTAAATATTATTTTCAATTTAGGAACATTCTGTTACTCACATCGAAGAAGTTCTCCGATATCATTGCGCAGTTTGTAGCATTCCATTTGAAACTCGCGATCTTCTGGCGATCCATGTACAGCTAATTCATGATCGGTCTGCCATTACTTTAACAGTTAACAATTTACAGCGGAATTCATCGGGAAAAAGTTTTTGCAAACAACAGGTCATTATTTCTTATACGATCAGCAATTATTAATAATTTATATTCACTACTGCAGGCCAGTTTGGTCAATCGATGGCATTGACAATTGGAAATGCTTTGATAGTACACATTGTGCATTTTCAAAAATACATTTTCATAAGTTAGGTATAACAGATTCCCACTAATAGATCACAATGTTTAATTACTAATGAGTTATATGATTGGTGACCGAAATACAAAATACGCTAAATAAGTTTGAATATTTCAATTGCAGTCTGAAAATCGTCTAGTAAAATGTTTGGTCTGTGATATAAAATTTGAAAACGAAGATGAATTGGACTTTCATCGCCTTATCGCACATTGCAAGGTATTGGGAATTTATCTGTTTTTTTCCTATTTTCTTTCTTATTTTTCTTTATTTTTTCGATTTCAGTATTTATTGATTCATATTATGCTTACTGATTTGATTCTCATTTATTGTTTTTATCTAAAAGGCCATATAATTTTTTTAATTCGTTAAACGGACACATTAACTGGCACATTTTCTGTGTAATTCGATTTGCTTTTATGCATCAGTACTATATATCATTTTGGAAGAAATAACTAAGAAATTCGTTGCTGTAGGTATTCGACTTTGAGCTTTTATTACCATTTTTGACTCTCGAAGTTTGGCTTTTTATTGTTAACCATTTGAGATTTTTGAGAACAGAATTTCTCA